ACTACCATATTACACAAACCAAAGTCACACAAACCATAGTCACACAAACCAAAGTGTACAGACTAACAAGTTTCTACTATCTACACTAACCATAGTCACACAAACCAAAGTGTACAGACTAACAAGTTTCAACTATCCACATTTACCTTAGTCACACAAACCAAAGTTTACAGACTAACAAGTTTCAACTATCCACAATTACCTTAGTCACACAAACCAAAGTGTACAGACTAACAAGTTTCTACTATCTACACTTACCATAGTCACACAAACCAAAGTTTACAAACTAACAAGTTTCTACTTTCTACACTAACCATAGTCACTTAAACCAAAGTGTACAGACTAACAAGTTTTCACTATTCACACAAATTATAACATCGAGATCAATAAAGTTCAAATATCCAAACAAATGAAACTATCCATACTAAAAATTGAGGTTCCGCCGCTATACACACAAACTAGCAAGGTTCCTCTGTACACACAAACCAAATATAAAATATTAACAATTATCCACTTTACAACGTATACAATACAAAGTGAACGGTTTAGTGCATACATGTATTTATTGAACAGCAAGTTACGATACAAATTGAAATAAATATGATTTGAGTTTATACAATTTCTTATATTCTTTATCTAACATGATAACAATTTATCGGTCAAACATTAACAAGCCGTTGAACAGTTTTTGAGTATTTACTACATGTATATATCAGCAATATATTACAAGTAGCGCTTATTTACAATGTTTTAAACAAATGTTAACTACAATGAAATGAACAGTTGTGCGTCTAAACTCCTATTGAACATGAAACTGAATTTACCAGGGGTTTGTCTATATATAACTTGTTTTCTTTTTAATTATGTATTTGCTTTTGTTTGTTTGTTTTTTTTACATAAACATACAGTAACAACACGTCTGTACAGGTCCTAAGCAGTATTCTGGAGAGAACACCATGACGCTCCACACTTTATAATAGTTTTGTCTCTTAAAGCACTTCTGATGATCGTATATTACTGTTAAATACTTAAATATCATACTATGTTACTTCATTCTGACTTTAATTTCACATAAAAGATTTTTTATCGACAATGTAATGAGTGAACTGCACGAACAGCCGTCAGATCTGTCATATTTTAAAGATATTAATTTGGTCACGTGCTAGGTGTTACTTATGATACTGAAGTTAAAAAATAATTCAAGAATATCGCCCATACTTAATTCACATATAAGAGGGTTGAATGATCTTGAAGCTTAACTCAATTAATTTATCAAACTGAACTTGTATACAAAAATAAAAACAAAATAATACATATGACAAAAAGGTAACATAGTGAAAATATTACAAGTCAAGCTTGTACCATCACAGATATATATATACACGTTACCAACCAACAGTCACATGTAAAAATTACAACGTTTTACTGGGACCAAAACATGTAGAAAATATATGTGTACATAGACCATGTCAACTGTAACATAACTGGTTTAAAGAAACCCTTTGAAAGGTTTGTAATTTTTATTAAAAGGTCTTACTTTTAACACTCTGTTAACTTTTAGCACTATTGCCATCTGTACATTTTTCTATTGCAAGCCAAGTTGACATTCACTCACGAAGTAATGTTCACCCAGTACTCACTAGTATTATGACAAGTTTCGTATGTTAATTAAAGATCTTATCGCAAAATTTATGAAATATCTTGATATATTTATTCAATATTATTCATATTACATTGCACGTCAATAGATATAAAGGCTACCAGCATTACATCCTGTATGTATTCAGTATTAAAGAGTACCTGCTATGTATTGACTAATATGGTCACATGTAGGTTCTGTTACAGTGGTAACACTCGATTTTAAAATTATATCACATCTTACAGACGCCCCCACCCCGCCCCCTTCCAAAGTGCAAAAACATCGAACACCAACAATCAACCTCATAAAAATCTGTTTATAATGAATCATCAACCTCCATTTATAAAAGTAGTATCAGTATTTATTTTTTTCAAAAAGAAAGCATATTATCCCTCAATCTCTCCAGACAACTAAGGTATAGATTGATTACTCCTGGGTAATACAGTACTCGTCTTTTTAAAGTGAGATGATCGTGAGATATTAAAACCATGTTAGCATGACTTTGTTCATGAATAGACTTCGTGTTATTATACTGTACGATACCTCACAGTCGGAAAATTTCTTAAAGAAGAAGGTGACGTGGTTTCTTTTGTATGTATACACGTTTATCAACTGAAGAGGTAAGAATAGTAACACTGGTGTGACAGTTATTGACCCACATGTATTTTGTAAACCAAAGTAAAAAGTGTAACGTGAACCGATTTCATGCCAATGAACTACCGCATGGTACTAATGAGCCATCTATATAGATGGTAACAACATGACAAATCAACTCACTCGGAAATACGCAATGCATTCTAGACATTAGACTTAAACTCTTCTCTCTCTCTCCCTCCTACTTTCTCTCTCTCCTACTCTCTCTTCTCTCTCCTCTCCCTCCCTCTGTCTCCCTCACTCTCTCTTCTCTCCTCCCTCTCTCTCGCTCCTACTCTATCTCTCTCTCCTCTCCCTCTCTTTGTCTTCCTCTCTCTCTCTCTCTTCTCTCTCCTCTCTCTCCTACTCTCTCTCATGTTTTATTACAAACTCACGATGTAAATATGCAAACTTTATAATCTTGCTGCAAACGTTTGGACTTGATATAAGCTTGTAAACTTATCTCAAATTTCTTTACATGTAAATGGTATAAATATATATTGTATAAATCAATGTACACAAAAGCCAGTCTGAACAGCAACCACAACCGCACACTAACAGATACATCTCATGAACATATATATCTCAATAACATATACGACATCTCATTAACATATATATCTCAATAACATATATATCTCATTAACATATATATCTCATTAACAGATACGACATGTCATTAACATATATATCTCAATAACGTATACGACATCTCAATAACATGTTTATCTCATTAACAGATACGATATCTCATTAACATATATATCTGATTAACATATACGATATCTCAATAACATATATATCTCAATAACATATATATCTCATTAACATATATATCTCATTAACAGATACGACATGTCATTAACATATATATCTCAATAACATATACGACATCTCATTAACATATTTATCTCATTAACAGATACGATATCCCATTAACATATATATATCTCATTAACATATACGATATCTCATTAACATATACGATATCTCATTAACATATATATCTCATTAACAGATACGACAACTCATTAACATATATATCTCATTAACATATATATCTCATTAACAGATACGACATCTCATTAACATATATATCTCATTAATAGATAAGATATCTCATTAACATTGATATCTCATTAACATATACGATATATCTCATTAACATATATATCTCAATAACATATATATCTCATTAACATATATATCTCATTAACAGATACGACATGTCATTAACATATATATCTCAATAACGTATACGACATCTCAATAACATGTTTATCTCATTAACAGATACGATATCTCATTAACATATATATCTGATTAACATATACGATATCTCAATAACATATATATCTCAATAACATATATATCTCATTAACATATATATCTCATTAACAGATACGACATGTCATTAACATATATATCTCAATAACATATACGACATCTCATTAACATATTTATCTCATTAACAGATACGATATCCCATTAACATATATATATCTCATTAACATATACGATATCTCATTAACATATACGATATCTCATTAACATATATATCTCATTAACAGATACGACAACTCATTAACATATATATCTCATTAACATATATATCTCATTAACAGATACGACATCTCATTAACATATATATCTCATTAATAGATAAGATATCTCATTAACATTGATATCTCATTAACATATACGATATATCTCATTAACATATACGATATCTCATTAACATATATATCTCATTAACAGATACGACATCTCATTAACATATATATCTCATTAATAGATAAGGTATCTCATTAACATTGATATCTCATTAACATATACGATATATCTCATTAATATATACGATATCTCATTAACATATATATCTCATTAGTTTTATGAGATGATCTCCATGAGTAAAAGTATATCAGATATTTATTGATAATAGATAGTTATCCTTTAACACTTAAAATGCAAACTTTTTACAATGACTTAGGGGAAGCAACTCTCTTATATCCATTGATATTGCAATGAAACACATCGTGTAAAAGTATTCATCCATTCGATAATTTTAGGGGCCTCAACAGATTCTTTTGAGACAGTTCTATCGAAAAGGAAAACGATTGTCAAATGTGCGTAATTTTTGGTAGACATAAGAATGATGTACGTCACCATTTTTTAATTGCAATGAAATGACTGCCTTTTATTCATCCATGTTTATTATACCCTTGCTGGTCATGAGCTACCTTCGTGTTTCCTATACTTAATTTTTGATATACCAGTCTGTTAAGAATGATTTCGTTTACAAAATGTTCTGTCCTCTTTCCTCTGCTTCGTCTTGGGATTAGCAAACATATTCTCAAACACCAAGGTGAAATACAAAAGCGGATATAGATAGCGCATTAAAAAATGATTACAGGCCTCTGGAAAGAGTGACGTCACAGAAGGTCCGCAAACTGACCAAACTCCATCAAATGTATCTTTGGCATTTGATCTCTCAGAGTTACTTCCCTTCATTTCACTCTACCAGTACTTGACAGTTGATGAGGTCGAGAATGTAAAATCGAACACGACTTTTGAGATTGTCTCAGTTCACTGAAGGGTTACATTTTGATGTTATTAGATCCTTCGCACACGTCAGAAAACTTTGTCATTTCCGGAAAGCGAAGATGAACTCATTAAATCTCTGCATGTTACGTCCGTACAGACGCATTTACCTCTTCCTGTCCTTAATTTACATTATGCTACATTTCCCCTGAGTTCTCCTTTTCGTTTTCGTATTACTAACGGGTACAGATGTGGAAGCTGGAAGCATCGGAGAGAATGCCGGTGTTTTAGACCGATAGGCTGAAACAAAACAAAAAAATATTTACGTTAAAGTCAAAACTTTTTCTTTGGCCCAATATCATAAAAATATTTATTCATTTTCAGTTTTCTGTATATTAGTACATCAGTATATTGTAGCAATCGTCCACTCGTACGTGTGAGAGATCATGACATTTCTGCTATATTATAGCTTACCAGTCCATCTGTCATTCTGTGCATCGTATTCATACTTAGGAATTTGGTCCTTGTCCAGACTTACATCCCACCAGGCGGCACTCACATACCTCTGCTGAAATAAAATATAACCATAAATGGCCAAATCGATTGATTTATGTGACTGGCTTAAGATTTTTTTTAAAAATATCTCCTGACTGCAGTTATATACACTGTATGCTGTTATATATAGTATTCAGTTTTTCAAGAAAACAGAATGTGAGTGAATACATGTTGAAATAATCATCACATACTTTTTATTGTTTAGAAAGTCTTCTGTATAAAAGACCATCGCATCACTTGACCATGAAGGGAGGTCGCTAGTTCGCCCCCACCCCCACACCCCCCCCACCCCAAAGTGGTGGGAAATCTAGTGATATCAGTTATAATATTAATTCTACCTACCTTTGTGGCGGATTTCTCCTTATCCCTATCCTCTCCTGCCATGTCTTCTGGTTTAGTGTCCAGTTGTTTCATAAGTTCTTTCGTATCTCCCGACAACTTTCCCTCTTGTTCCAGTTCTTCTGTGTACGCCTCTAGTTGTTCTGGTGCAGCCTCCCGATAACACACTACAACCATGTAACAATGTCAGTAAAATTCCACAAAGCAAGGAAAAAAAAACGAAAAAAAATCTCAACGTGAAACCTCGAAATAACCCTCCATCGTTTTATAGTGCCATTAATGGCATACTCTGTATGTACAAGTAAAATGACACCCTACTCCATCATATTACATTTATTTATTGGTCGATTTTATGAATTGAGTTGTTTTTCACAGTAGACATATAAATATTATGTTATATATAGTACATAATATTTACTAAAATATACTACACATATACAGGAGCCCTGTACAACACATATCGATCTTTGAAGAGGGCTAGATGCATAATATCAATTTTAGACTTACCAGCCAAGAACATTTCTGTGATGAGACTAAAGACTTACCAGCCAAGAACATTTCTGTGATGAGACTAAAGTGGACAAGTTTAAGCAGACATCCGCCCGTCTCCTCTGATAGCAGACCGTAGAAGTTTTCTGCGGTGCTACTGTACGTCTGGCAGTGGACTCCATATACCTACAACAAAACGGAAGTCAGTGGCATCGTGTGTGTATCGTTTTTTGGTTACTTGTTTCTTCGTGTGTTTATGATTATGAATGTAACAATGAACAAAAAATAAATATATCTAAAATAAAATGAACAAACAAACAACATTTCAAACTCTAGATATCTTTGATAGAGATGAAATAGATAAATTTAAATCAAAATTATGTAAATTCACTGTTATAAATGTTTTCATTCTTCTTTAAATATTCATGTTTTCTTTTAATTTTTGTCTCTTTTTCAAATTGTTTATTTTACTTATTTATTTAACGAAGAAATATCAATGGATTTAAAAGTCAATTATCTTTAAACACGTGCAAGTCAACAAACACGGATCTACCTTGACTCCCATTCCTTTTAAGACCTCCATTTCGTCCCTCCAGTTGATGTGCTGGTCAGTGTAAGAAGGCGGATGGGGCTCACAATCGCCGATGACCACAAACGCTTTAGCTGAATTCTCTGACCAGTCCAGTTGTTGTGCCTTTCGCAGGGCCCACTCATAGCACTGAAAACGTCCGAGAAAATATATTTCAATTCATCAGAGTACTTGGTTAATTTCGGAGTTGACAATCCGTCCTTGAACACCAAATACTCGTGACAGTTTTACAACACTTTGATAAAATCAAAGCCTGTAATTTTGCATAGATCATGTTTATAAATTGGTTATAACACGGACACAAAAGTTGAAAAAAATGGGTAGATTATCTTCCCGCAGAATCCCTCCAGAATATCCCACAACCGAAAACATCCGCGTATGTAAAAATCGATATCTTAATTAAAACTGTAATTATTTATAGCTTAATTTTTTACATCACCTTTGTTAACCCGGATGGAAGAGTACGAGATATATTAATTGTAGGAGGAAACGGGAGTACCCCGTAGCAAACATACGTGGTCAGGCAGATGAAACTATGCCTTTTCACGTCCGCTCGGGGAATCGAATCCCGAACGACCTTACCAATGTGCTACCCGACCGCCCATTAAAAACTCCTTACCTCGGGACTGTCTCCGCCGCAAGTTGATGGCGTGTTCGTGACAAAATGGACAAGCTGAGCTACATCCGATGTCAGGTCGATCGACTTGATGACATAAACATCCTGGTCACAGTAGTCCCCGTGAGCCATGATACCTATCCTAATCCCAGGGATGTCTCGGATAAGTCGAGTGCACGTGTCCTTAATGTTCTGTCGCACCTGTTCAATAGTAAAGTGTCAACATCTGTTTTACTTTGATAATAATTTGACAAAAAAAATGACAGCTATCAAATCTAGAAATCATTGAAATTTACAGGATAGAATACTGAATATTCTGGAGTTCCGGTCAGATTTCACGTTTCCGCTCCAACTGGTCGAAGAAGTGAGAACATGATAATTGTGAGTATACCCTCTAAGTTCCCTCGCCTTCGTGTTATCATTCTTTCTATTTTTATCTCTTGTAATTACTTCCCTTTGTTCACGCTATAAGTATGGTATAATGATTGATGAGCTTGAAATTCAGAGTCCAAGAATTTCGAGAGAAAGGGAGAACGAGTGATAATTCATAATGGAACACTATCTTTAGAATTACGTATTAACTCCATTGAATTGCTTTATGTCTACAGTGCTGTAAGTACGTTAACAAATGTATGTGATGTAAACTACATCTATATGCTATAGATATAGTGTTTCCGACTAACGACAGATACATACCTTCTCAAGGTTGCAAGACATACTTCCTGTTGTGTCGAAACAGAAAACGACTTCTACATTTTTACCACCAGTATCAAAACTAGCAAGTACGTCCTGAAAAAATAAACATAGCTTCTAATTATATATTTTCAGAGTGCATGCGTGTGTAAAATAAGTCTATACCATTATGAGCAATCAAGCGATATTAATGTCACTTATTTCAAATGATATACATTTTTTTGTCTGCATGATTTACAACTTTGTTTTAAACAAGAAAGGGTTATTGAATACATTACCTCTTTCAAAGCTTCAGACGTTTCCTCATTTGTAGTAGTAGCTAGAATGGGGAGAAGAAACCACAGGATATAACAAACAAGCGGAAATTATTCATTCTTTTACTTTCTTGTATCAGGTCTTTGTTTCCGATTCTTGGGCAGTACTAAATATGTCAGTTCATATATCAAATGGAAAGGAATCTAAAACTATATAAGGCATACATAAGATTTGTCAGTAAAATTAGTTGTTTATCTGTCTAATCCAAATAAAACCGATTGATATTAACAACAGCTGTTCCCAATAAAGTCACTTTAATTACTTTACATAAAGTTTGATAAGTAAAGCCGTAGCAATATGGCGAATGATGTCGTAGTGAATCGACAAATAAGTGATTTAGTAAATGGATTTGAATAAAGTACCTGCTGTCACACAACTGTCAGAGGGTTTGGCCTTAGTTAAATCGTTGACCTCTATGATTGATTCCTCCTTCAGGCCTGTCTCAAACAATAGCTGGTCATTCTGCATCGTTCTTGGTTGACCGGCAAGCTGCCACAAATACAAAGATATTGATGTGAATCGCAGAGGTATAGTCTTCAATGTATCATTTGGTTTAGTATTGTTAATGTTTTATTAATTCCAATAGTTCTTTCAGGATTTTTTTAATTCACGGTAAAATTTGTCTGATTAACAAGGACGATTATCATCGGAATCACGTGTTGGACAAAATGTTTGAGTAGAATTCGAGAATTAAAAACGATAATTATAAAAAAAAATATTCTAGTAATATGGATACTCCGCCTTTATTTTCAAAAATTATCATTACAGCCTGAAATTACAACTCAATGTCACCTCCCAACAATCTACCTATATTACGCGCATGTGTTCCCCTCCAAAGAAATTAATATACCTTTAGCATTATTTTTGCAGTTGGAATGTCTTTCACTTCGTGTATATAGGATTTGATGCTAGATACACTGTCTACGTTTTGAACATCCATTGAGATTGTATGGCCGTCTTCAAACCTCAAAATAACGGATATTGTTTTAGCCAACACAACCTGAAACAAATAAATAATAAGTCTTTCATTATGCTGATGATAATATAAAAAATAACCATCGGAGAATCTGTCCACCGTCTAATACAGTAACGAGACGCTCCTGAAAACCAGTAACCTACATGCTGAAAATAATTTAAATCTTACTAATCCGTATTCGTATATATTTTATCTAAAAAATATACTTTTGTTTACAATTTTACTTTTCTGTTACTGATACTCCGCTGAAAGTGAAAGTGGAAAACTTACCTCCCCTTTTAGTATGGTTTCTGGTCTGATTCCTAGGTAACCAATGGTCTTAGTTCTATCGATTAGTTTGCCCTGATATTTCAGGCGAATACGTCTCCCTGACACACCTTCCTCTTCGCCAACCTTCTCGTAGATTTTGTTGGCACTGTCTGTCAGTATGAGAGCAAACGCTGAGGTTCTGCCAGTCGGCATTTTGACGTAAACATCGACGATGGGAGAAGCCATGGTTTCGTCGTATGTGTGGCGAACAAAGTTTTTGTAAAATAATTGACAGTTGTAAAAGAATTGTGATACAGTGGTAACTTGGTGTCTAAAGCTATCTATGAAGATATAGGCTCTCGCTGCAGGTTAGAATGTTATAATTGAACAATTCTATTCAATGTAATCACTATTTATATTATATATTATGCAGTCTAAATATATTGGCCAATCGAAATCGGTTTATTTAAAAACCAGCGACTACTTGCTAAAAATAGAAATGTCTTGAGACAGATTATCGACGCTCAGCAGTGGCAGTTATCCATAACCCCGTTTTTAGTTGTTTAATGTTTTCACGACGACAAAAAGTGGAGATCATTGCTCATATATGTCCCTTTAAGTAAATGGCAAACGAATGGAGGCCCCTCTTGACAACGAAAAAAGATTAATGTCATAAACGAACCAACTCGTACTTGCCAACTCGATCCAGCCTTCTGGATCCCATTCTCTTAACTCAGTCTATTTCTTGAATTGATTCTCTTGTAATACCCACAGGCACTCGAGGCCAGGATATTATTTTTTAAACGTTGATTTTTGTTTTAGCACTCATGACTGACGTTATTTAAACGAAATATCAGCAGAATTCAAGTTTATGTGCCGGTTGACAAATCCGAGGTCCACGGTCGACCGTGGACCTCGGATTTGTCAACCGGCACATAAACTTGAATTCTGCTGATATTTCGTTTAAATAACGTCAGTCATGAGTGCTAAAACAAAAATCAACGTTTAAAAAATAATATCCTGGCCTCGAGTGCCTGTGGTAATACCAGTTGATAAATCCTTCAGTGATAATGATAGCTTTACTGCTTGTATTAATCTTCCGTGTGCTTGTAGATCTATTTATAAGCGTAAAATTTGGCTGTATAAAAGGGCTGATTTCCGAACGTTTAATAATCTTATTTCTAATTATAATTGGAATGATCTTTTCCTTAATTGTAATTCAGTTGATATTGCTTGTGAACGTTTAACTGATATTGTTTTTCGATTTTGCGAATTCATGCATTCCATCTAAAGTGGTCACTATTAGACCTAATGATAAACCTTGGATGACCTCTGAATTAAGGAAAAAATTGAAAATTCGTGATAGGTTGCATAAAATCGCAAGGTCAACCAAGCTTCTTTCGGATGTTAATAAATTTAAGTCTCAACAAAATAAGGTTAACAACATGAAAAATACGCCCGTTTATTATTTTATGAGAATGTTCATAGTATAATTGAAGAATTTGTGTCTTCTGATCCAAAATCTTATTGGAGACTTATTAAAAGGTTAATGAATTCAACTGGAACTTCACAATCTATTCCTTCTCTTGTAGATCCTCACACTAATAATGTTGTTACTAATGATGAAGACAAAGCTAACTTATTAAATTACTATTTTTGTAATATTACACAAGTCGATGATAGAAACACTGCAGTTCCTGTAGTTGAGTCTAAAACCAACAAAACGCTTAGTTCTGTAAGAGTAAATAGAAATGAAATCCGTGATTTTTTTTTACAGATATTGAAGCTCGGAAAGGCCTCGGGTGAGGATGGGATCAGTCCTCATATGTTAAGAAATACAGCACAAACTGTTTGTATTGCACTTGAAATTATCTTTAACATGTCTTCATCGTCAAGTATATTTCCAGCCAATTGGAAAGTAGCAAAAGTTCTGCCACTGTTTAAAAAAGGCGACAGGCATTCTCCCTCTAACTATAGACCGATTACTCTTCTATCTACTGTTGGAAAAGTCTTTGAGCGTGTCATTTTCAAACACCTATATAATTAAAATTCATTGTTTTATAAACACCAGTCTGGCTTCATGCATGCGCATTCTACTGTATATAAGCACATTGAAATTTATCGCAATATTTGTATTGCTTTTGAAAAGAAAAAACATGTATGTATGGTCTTCAGTGATATTTCTAAAAAAAAATTCGATCGTTTTTGGCATAAAGGTTTGATGGTAAAATTAAAATCGTACGGACTTTGTGGTGAGCTATTTACGTGGCTATAAAACTTTGTATTTAATGGGCAGCAGAAAGTTTTCCTAAATAGTGTTTATTTTCAATTAGGTTCAAACTCAGCAGGGGTTCCTCAAGGTTCCATTCTTGGACCACTTTTGTTTCTTATATACATAAATGATATTGCCGATGTCCTTGAATCATCTGCTCGTCTTTTTGCAGACGATACTTCTTTATTAAAGTCTTCCTCATTATGTCTCGAAATCCAAACAGTCTTAAATAGGGATCTTGGTTATATCTTGTAAATCAGGATGAAGTCTAACATGAAGTTCACAACTCTTATGAAAAGTGTATAGTTCTGATAAGTTTATTTATCAACTTTTTAAAGATCGTATTGTCTGCAAAATAAACACACAATAAGAGAGATTGGAGGGTCTGTTAACACTAGCAGCAGGGTAAACATTAAAACCTATTTAAAGAATAACAAAAGTCCTGGAATGGGCGGGTTCACGGTTGAGTTTTTATTTAATGCAAATACAGGGTTAGTGTATGATTGGCAACATTCTGAAGAAAACAATATCCCCAACACGCCTTTAATGAAAGATTTTGAAAAGGGCTTCTGCTTCCGCATGTCTCTTGGGATTTTGCTGAAAGGTTGATTCACTTTTTTGTTTTGTTTTTCTTTTTTTCTTTTTCTTTTTTTATTATGAACTGGTTTGAATATTTCAATCAGGAGGGAAACCAATTATCCTCTTTTAATATCAAAGTGACTGTCGTCAGGGATCCAGTATTTTTTTTGTATTTGCTCTTAAATTACGAAGTAACGAGGAAAAGGTATTGAGATAGACCTAGAATGGCTCTGTACGTAAGGAAAACATTAAAACTTAACAATACTATATAAGTCTGTGTTACATTCAATAACTTTATTGAATCGCCACTGTAATTCTGTAATAAAATTCTCAACCACGGAACTGACATTCCGCGAGAGTTGTTTCCCTTCGTTTCAATTAGGAGGCGTTTGCGATCTCACTTCCTCCATGACATCATCATGGCGTCCGGACTTGACTAGTTGAGAGGTGTTGTACGTGCTTGAGTCATGTTATTAATGGTTGCCAAGATATAAGTCAGCCAGATGTGGAATATCTGAATAATTATCATTTGTTGAGATGACTGAAGAGAAAACAGACGCATTGAGTCTGACGGATGATGAAGACAATGAAGATTCCGATTATGAACCGGCACTGCCCGAAATTCAGGGTGTACTCAGTAAATGGACTAATTATTTACACGGGTGGCAAGACCGATACATTGTGTTAAAAGAAGGAACCCTGAGTTACTATAAATCAGAAAATGATACAGCTTTTGGATGCCGAGGCGCAGTTAGTCTTGCAAAAGCAAGCGTGTCAGTAAGTAGCCAATACCTGTGACAATTTACTGTCACTCGTGTTTTCACGGGTCGTTGCGCGTTTTCGACTCGGTTCGTGCAAACACGTTCAGGATAGTAGTTTGTGTAATTTACATTGGTGATTCGTCAAGGCGAGATGGGAGTACGGATGATTTAGGGTTTGGTAGGGTTTTACATTAGAAATTTTTCTTTTAAAACAATGATCAAATGGAATAATAATAAGCTGATACATAATACGACAGGTCACTTCCATTTGGATCTCCCCTTTACGTGGTCTAAACATTGAATAAAGAATGTTGTCTTGGCAAAGAATAAACGATCTTTTATAAAAACAGGATGTCAAAAAGTTCCTCTCAAACAAACATGTAACAAGTTGCGTTTATTAGTAAACTGATAAATGCACTGTAATCTGTAGTTTTTGTGCTGACTTTTCGATCTACTCTTCCTAACAATTTATGAGTATAGACTTATCACCGTATATTTTTCTTATGGATTGATGTATACAGTTATATTAATTAGTGGTTTTATATATATAGGGCCTATCTGTATTTACATATATAGCTATATAATCAATTGATGATGTCTGTTGGATCAGTTATTTCTCCACCAAAGGCACATTGGTTTTCCTCTGTAAGTTTTCCTCCAACATTCAAAACAACCTATTCTTAATGTTCCCATAGCAATGTCATAGAAAAAGCTTTACAGGTTGAATTTAAAGTCTATTTTTAAACATATTGTAGTTAGCAACAAGTTGTATGTGATTTACGCTTTGGTGAAATCTGTGTCTTCACTTACAATAAATATATCTCTACATCATCCAACAGGTGTCCCTTCCATGCTTTTATTGCATTTATGGTGGTATAACAAAGAAAGTGTTGTTCAATATCTTAAGTATATATCTTCATTTGTTCATTGAGTTTCCAATCATGAAATCATTGAACAGTCAGTACATAAATATGATGCCATATTGATTGAAGAAAAGCTGTCCTCATAACACCAAGTTCTGATCACTTTCTGCTCTTATTAATTAGCTATTTTTTCGTTAAATGTATATGATATATGTTAAAATGGATTACCATCAAAGTTGAGTTGAAAAATTGAGGCAAGACATCATTGATTATTACATTACCACAGATTCATGATCATAAAATTACAAATTTTAATGTAGTGTTAAATCAAGCATAATAATCTTGATTATGCCATATCTAACATTATTCTCCAATAATGATTAAACATAACAAACTAGCAATTCATAGTTTGTCCCAGACACTGCTATAGCATATATGTGATTTTTTATCAATACACTGTGGTCTTGAATATACAGAAAACCATTCATTGTGTTTCTATTGATGCATATAATACTCAAAAAACATGTAATTGATAATAATAATTAACATACTGTATGATGTTTTGAAATAAAGAAAACAACCATTTTTTACAGACGTGAAAAGAGATTCTTTGAAAGAATTTTTCATCATTAATTTGTCTACACTCTTTGACCAAGGCTTGCAATTTTTCACTTTGAAAATACTTTATTTTGATGAATATTTACATTAACCAAAAGAAAAATTAATAAATTTGCATTGTAAGTACATTGGTACTTTGATTTCCTAAATTATCATTTTATATTTACAATATGATGAATATCTAAAATATCACAGTTTTGAAACCTTTTCTATGTGAAATAATAGATAATGATAAGATCAAATATTCTAATTTGTTTGTGCATTTTTGGAACAACAATATATCAAATATTTTGAAAGTCAGAAATATTTTCATAACTGGTTTAAAGACTATGTGAAGATAAATTGTTTGATTTTTACCACATTTTTTTATAATTGTAAAACCAATTTACTTTAAACATGTATTTGAAAATACATATATGCTGTAATAATAAATGGATGCAGTTTTATCAATTTTATTCAATTGTTCTGGGCCTTCCAATTCAGAATTTTCTTGTAATTTAAATAACACATTGTAAAGTGCTTGGTATCGATAACTGGCAACATCAAGATGTTACAACAGCACATTGAAAAATAGGCACAATTGGCCCAAGTCTTCACTATAAATCAGACTGATACAAAATTATGTTAAGTGATTATTTCCTATGGCAGGCATATTAATTGGTGAGGATTTAATGATACTTGTAGCTATGTTTTCCATATATAGTCTGGAGCCATTTAATTATATTTGTTTTGAGGTTCTCTAGAAATGATAATTGATTAACTGGACTATTCAGAGACACATGTGTAAGAGGAATGCATGCTTCATCTTTCTGAAGGAAAATTATGCAAATTGAACATAAAATAAGGATGCTATTTCCCATACATTTTGATATGTTGATATGATTTCAGAAGAAATTCATTCATTTGAAGACAATATATTATGGTAGTGCATAAGTCATATCATACATAAAAGCTGCTGTACCAAAGTACATATAATTAGCCATGTTACATGTCCTATTATATCTCACTACATTTATATGTATACCGGGTGTAATGGTGCTTCTACAAACATTTCACTTACCATAATATATACTATGGCTGACTTCCAAGATAGATGGGTATAAATATGTCAGATCAGAATTTTGTGTAATTCATTATAGAACAAAAGTACCAGTTGAATTGTATGGAATTTTTATGAAGGGTTTAGTATTGATAGCAAAATATACCAGATGCACTACATAATGTAGTGAGTTGTAAACAAGCTCTTGTGATCTTAGCTATGCCAAGTCTTTCAAAAAGTTATCAGTTTTGTTGACCCTGATGGCTGGACTGTATCATCTGAAGCTATAGCTATGGGAAAGGATGACTAGCAGATGCTTTGTGACCTCCTACACTGAACCTTGTATTCTAGAACATACAAGGATGTATTTGAGAAGCAGAATTTTCACTCATCTGGTTTAAAGCAATAGACATATTTTTACTTACAAATGGTAATTGTTTAATTCATAACATGCATTTCTCCCCTCCCCCCCCTCCCCCCACAAGTTACTAGTTACTAACAAGTTGCTAAATATTACATAGGTAGAATCCATTAAATCATATTTTTTATAAATGCATTTTGCTAGACAAGATATGAATGGCCTTACATGAGTTGCATCAAGTGCATGTAATAATGATTTGAAAAGGGTTGAAAAATATGGTTAAGAACTGATTGTATAACATGTCAGATTGTATATCGCTGTAAAAAATCTTCATGATCTTGATGATTTCAAAATTTACAGCTGTTGACTACCAACATAAAAAGATAAAATGCAGAATGTTATTTGGTACACTTGCCTATATAATCTTTATTTCAATAAACAGTAAGAAAGCTTCATTTTATAAACAACAATTTTATATGTTTTAGCCACACCAGTTTGATGAGTGTCGGTTTGACGTGACAGTCAATGACTGCGTTTGGTACCTGCGCAGTGGATCTGAGGAGGAGCGCCTTCAATGGATCAATGCCATCGAGTTACACAGGGTATTTCTTAACATAGATGTCGAGGTATTTAAATTGAAGAAGTCACAACTACTTGAAAAACGGCTTCCTTCTTCTGTGATGTTAATATCACAATATATTGACGTTGATTCTCATTACGAAAAAAAAATTAAAAGAAATATGCTTTTTCACTAACATGTTTATTAAAGAATGTTTGATTTTGTATTTATTAATAATTAATACATATTACTATGGTTGTACTAGGCTTTTTTCAATATTAACAAGAGAAACAGCAAGACATTTTTCCTGATGAATTTGCTATATATTTATTAGATTATTTATCTGTGCTGACATATAGACATGTTGGATTATAGGTTATAATTAACTCATAATTTCTCTCATTCTGAAACACGTTTGATACTCCGACAAACCAGTAACATGTACCCTGATCTTTTAAAAGATTAACCAAGACTTCTTATTTGCATGATTAAATCTTCCACTGTTGACTACAGGTTAATGGCAACACATAATTAATCAGTCGTGTAAAACTTGTTTGATAGCTATAGGTATTTTATCTGTGTATATATTATATAATTATAGTCGTTGGATGGTGGATCACAGAACACAATTTTTATGACATTAGTATGAAAATTTAAAAAAGACGAAGAAAAAAAAATACTTGACATATTAATCTTAACATACAACAATTGTTACTAATTACTCAGATAAAGTCTCAATGCAGTCTACATCTACTGTATTTTGAACCAACCTATTTATGATTCAAGAGAGAAAAATCTTGATAAGCCTGTTTAAGTTTCTTCTCTTTATGCTCCTCCTTATATAACTTTATTGTATTGAAACCTTCACCCCTAGTAAGAATATGAGTATAGTGCCTGATGAATTATTCATATGAACAAATTCAAAAAGTTCTATTTGGTTTTTGACTTCGAGATCTGACCTTGGACTTTTACTCTCCAGGTGCGAGACTTTTCCACCTTTTAAGAACCATTGACTTTTCATGCTATCTAGTTGTTAGAATTTTTTCACAGGTAGAAAACATTTGAACTCATTTGATATTCCTTAAATACATTTTTCTGAATTCATCTGAAAGGAACTCACGTAAACTATTAATCTGGGAATGACAGCAATTTATCATTCAATCAGAAGATATTTTACGATTTACTGTCAGTTAATTTACACAACGTTTTACATGAAATGGGTACATGTTTGATAGATATTATAAGTAATTGCAGATATTTCCTGCTATGGTTGTTGCTTCTGTGGTCTGAAAGAAGAAAAAAACTTCTGAAATTAAATGTGTAAGATACACACTGGCTCCAACTATTAAACTCTTGCAGTACACTAAGTGTGTGTATAGACAATGGTTTGCTTCGAAGCACCTTCAGGAATATCTACATCTATGTGATTGGGATTTAGATAGTGATGTGCTTGTACATTTTTGATATCAGTGTGTGGAATTGACTGGTACATCATTATTAATCAGAAACATACATGTCTACAACTCCATGTACTGGTACAAGTAACTATTCAGATGCTCACGTAATGGGGTGTTTGCAAATCAGCTTTAGAAAGGAAAGATTTCTATCTTTGAAATTATTTTTGAAATAATACAATTCAAGTCATGTATCAAAATATTCTGCAGTGTAGTGCAAGTCTAATTGGAATGTAGCATGTTTGTTACTTATTCTAGACACATAACTGCTGCTTAACTGAAATCTAACTAAATTGAAGCATTTACTTTAATGTTATACCTAGGTTATGAACATATATATACAGGTTCATCCAAATTTTACATTTAGAAATGTAGGCATGATTTGATAATTAATTTTAGATTGGTTTCACATAAAAATGATGAAATTTGACATGATTCAGACACAACTGTTCATGTTATTAAAAGGAAGTGTACATAATATATGCATATTAAGTTTTTAAGAATTCTCATGATTGAATTTTAGATACAATATACATGGTTGTGACTTCTTCATGTTAGACTAGCTACATGTAGTTCTTACACTACCTGTAAATTAATGATTGAATCCTAAATATTCTAGCTGCAGTCAGCCTGCATGGTTGGATAATCATGTGAATGAAGTCTGGTGTTTTGTGTTGTGAACTTTACTTTAACATTTCTACACAACTAAACTTTTTACAAAATATTTATTTTACACTATTTATGCTGAAAAATTTGTTAATAAGCATGTCATTGTAAGGTTATACAATTCTAAAGTTTTTTTTTTACAATTTTTGGGTTTTCATTAAATCAAAGCAGAATTAAATACATAATGTTTTTCAGGCGGGAAAAAAAATTACGTAGGCACTGTGGTCTATCTCTGTCAACTATTAATATGCTTGTAACAACTTTGGGAATATAACATTACTACAGACATTGAATAGCAAAACAAATTGATCAGAAAAATATAAAAGCTTTTAACCACGATGCAGCTAGTGTCTATAAGAGAAATGTTGTGTGTTCTGTTTGGCTGGTCATGGAAGACAAAAAAAATACTGCACATTATAGTTTGTATTTGTTGTATTGATATCTTACAAACAATTGAATATTACATGGAATCTCCTTTGCAGCAAGCTGAATCTGGGTATGGGAGTGAAAATAACCTCCGTCGTCATGGTTCCATGATTTCTCTCACCTCAGCAGCCAGTCTTTCTACTGCATCTACTTCCTCCTTCAAGGTGAGTTGACTTAGATTTCTAGGTCAGATGAGAAAATCATCAAAGTAAGCAGATGAAATACAGAGGTTTAAAGTCACAGTATCGACATTAGACCAAGAAAGCTTGTAGGAAGATTTTTACTTCAGTAAAGTAGAATTTCCAATTACCAATTGAAGTTTAGCGATGTGATGAGAGGTTGCTTGTTTTTCTGATAATACTGAGTAAACAGACCTTGTTTCAAATCTAAGTGAATCATGATTAAGATTGGTTAATGATGAGAGATAGAATATTGTCCATCAAATGAGTTTCATATAAGAGGCTTTCAGACTGCTTTTATCAAGGGGAACTAGTGTTAATTAGCATTTTCAAACAATTCATTGAACAAAGTACAAAAGGGTTATGCTTTTCTGTGTGTCTCTACTAATTAATTGAAACACTTTCAAAATTAATTACTGTTTTTTTTTATTTTTATTGTGGTATTTTTTGTTTTGTTTTGGTTTCTTTTGTTTTTATTTTGATATGATATTAGTAATCATTTGAATGTGAAATATATTGCAATATACAAATCATAAAGACTAGGTATTTAGCCTAAACAGTACATCCTATGTACAATGTACAAAGAGGTATATACACAAAGGAGTAGAATTCCACTATTACCAAACATGGTGCAAATATAAGTAGATGGATGTCAGGACTAGAGTTGTATTGAGCTAGTACAATCAATATCTGTCTTTGCTTATGTACAATATACAAAGTTACCAGTACATTGTCTGTGATATGAAGTGGGTTAGTCATCATGTGTTACATTTAGAATTGATTCTCCTCTATCCCAGTAGAAAGTACATCTTATGTATCAAAATAAACAATCTGAGAACATTTTTTACTGCTCAGTGAAAATCTGCATCTTTTACATATTCTATTATTAGTGTGTTTACCATATAATTAATTAGTTTTGTTTGATTTTTTAAGTTAGGGAATTAGTTGGAGCAGGATGACGATAAGGTTTCTCTAACAGATTGATCATTTGTATACTGGTTAGAATTAGCTTTCAGATCAGTAATGCTCACTTAGAGTATAAATCATTCACTACAAATGAATGACCAGTACATGTATTGGTAATGCCTGATATCTTTACATCTTTTATATGTGTTTGATGTCAGTTAAATGCCAATGTATAATTTGTGCAAAAATATTTCTTGAGCAAATATCAAAATTTAGGATCATTTGTTGATAGCAAATGTCTAACATTTGTAGCGTGGCCGTGGACTTAAAGAGAAACTTGCTGAAATGGAGACGTTTCGTGACATCCTATGTCGACAGATAGACACACTCCAGAGCTACTTTGACAGCTGTGCTTCAGCCGTCTCCCAAGGAGCCGTACAGGAATGTAAGAGCAGTATCTATATTGTAGGAACTATATGTGTTATGGTACCATTCTAATTAGTTAGATATTCGAGTCTGGAAGGTTGAACACACATATTTCTTTCAAATGTGTAAGCTTAAAATTTGTTGCTAGATGCCCATGTTTGCCTTGACACTACATAAGAATCAAAGACTGTTTATTTTTTCTGTAATATTGAATATCTGTACTAATGTCTATTGCTGTGATTGTCTTCCTTTCATTTGTAATCTACCCAGTATCTAGCTAGAGGAGTATAATAGTTGAATATGTAATCTACCCAGTATCTAGCTAGAGGAGTATAATAGTTGAATATGTAATCTACCCAGTATCTAGCTAGAGGAGTATAATAGTTGAATATGTAATCTACCCAGTATCTAGCTAGAGGAGTATAATAGTTGAATATGTAATCTACCCAGTATCTGGCTAGAGGAGTAGTTGAATATGTAATCTACCCAGTATCTGGCTAGAGGAGTATAATAGTTGAATATGTAATCTACCCAGTATCTAGCTAGAGGAGTATAATAGTTGAATATGTAATCTACCCAGTATCTGGCTAGAGGAGTATAATAGTTGAATATGTAATCTACCCAGTATCTATAGTTGAATATGTAATCTACCCAGTATCTATAGTTGTTGAATATGTAATCTACCCAGTATCTATAGTTGAATATGTAATCTACCCAGTATCTGGCTAGAGGAGTATAATAGTTGAATATGTAATCTACCCAGTATCTGGCTAGAGGAGTATAATAGTTGAATATGTAATCTACCCAGTATCTGGCTAGAGGAGTATAATAGTTGAATATGTAATCTACCCAGTATCTAGCTAGAGGAGTATAATAGTTGAATATGTAATCTACCCAGTATCTGGCTAGAGGAGTATAATAGTTGAATATGTAATCTACCCAGTATCTAGCTAGAGGAGTATAATAGTTGAATATGTAATCTACCCAGTATCTGGCTAGAGGAGTATAATAGTTGAATATGTAATCTACCCAGTATCTGGCTAGAGGAGTATAATAGTTGAATATGTAATCTACCCAGTATCTAGCTAGAGGAGTATAATAGTTGAATATGTAATCTACCCAGTATCTATAGTTGAATATGTAATCTACCCAGTATCTGGCTAGAGGAGTATAATAGTTGAATATGTAATCTACCCAGTATCTGGCTAGAGGAGTATAATAGTTGAATATGTAATCTACCCAGTATCTGGCTAGAGGAGTAGTTGAATATGTATCTACCCAGTATCTATAGTTGAATATGTAATCTACCCAGTATCTGGCTAGAGGAGTATAATAGTTGAATATGTAATCTACCCAGTATCTGGCTAGAGGAGTATAATAGTTGAATATGTAATCTACCCAGTATCTAGCTAGAGGAGTATAATAGTTGAATATGTAATCTACCCAGTATCTATAGTTGAATATGTAATCTACCCAGTATCTGGCTAGAGGAGTATAATAGTTGAATATGTAATCTACCCAGTATCTAGCTACCCAGTATCTGGCTAGAGTATAATAGTTGAATATGTAATCTACCCAGTATCTAGCTAGAGGAGTATAATAGTTGAATATGTAATCTACCCAGTATCTATAGTTGAATATGTAATCTACCCAGTATCTGGCTAGAGGAGTATAATAGTTGAATATGTAATCTACCCAGTATCTGGCTAGAGGAGTATAATAGTTGAATATGTAATCTACCCAGTATCTGGCTAGAGGAGTATAATAGTTGAATATGTAATCTACCCAGTATCTATAGTTGAATATGTAATCTACCCAGTATCTGGCTAGAGGAGTATAATAGTTGAATATGTAATCTACCCAGTATCTGGCTAGAGGAGTATAATAGTTGAATATGTAATCTACCCAGTATCTAGCTAGAGGAGTATAATAGTTGAATATGTAATCTACCCAGTATCTAGCTAGAGGAGTATAATAGTTGAATATGTAATCTACCCAGTATCTACCCAGAGGAGTATAATAGTAGAGGAGTATAATAGTTGAATATGTAATCTACCCAGTATCTAGCTAGAGGAGTATAATAGTTGAATATGTAATCTACCCAGTATCTAGCGAGAGGAATATGTAATCTACCCAGTATCTGGCTAGAGGAGTATAATAGTTGAATATGTAATCTACCCAGTATCTGGCTAGAGGAGTATAATAGTTGAATATGTAATCTACCCAGTATCTAGATAGAGGAGTATAATAGTTGAATATGTAATCTACCCAGTATCTTGCTAGAGGAGTATAATAGTTGAATATGTAATCTACCCAGTATCTGGCTAGAGGAGTATAATAGTTGAATATGTAATCTACCCAGTATCTAAGAGGAATCTACCCAGTATCTAGTAGTTGAATATGTAATCTACCCAGTATCTATAGTTGAATATGTAGGAGTATAATAGTTGTATCTAGCTAGAGGAGTATAATAGTTGAATATGTAATCTACCCAGTATCTAGCTAGAGGAGTATAATAGTTGAATATGTAATCTACCCAGTATCTGGCTAGAGGAGTATAATAGTTGAATATGTAATCTACCCAGTATCTGGCTAGAGGAGTATAATAGTTGAATATGTAATCTACCCAGTATCTAGCTAGAGGAGTATAATAGTTGAATATGTAATCTACCCAGTATCTACCCAGCTAGAGGAGTATAATAGTTGAATATGTAATCTACCCAGTATCTGGCTAGAGGAGTATAATAGTTGAATATGTAATCTACCCAGTATCTGGCTAGAGGAGTATAATAGTTGAATATGTAATCTACCCAGTATCTGGCTAGAGGAGTATAATAGGAATATGTAATACCCAGTATCTGTAGAGGAGTATAATAGAATATGTAATCTACCCAGTATCTGGCTAGAGGAGTATAATAGTTGAATATGTAATCTACCCAGTATCTGGCTAGAGGAGTATAATAGTTGAATATGTAATCTACCCAGTATCTAGCTAGAGGAGTATAATAGTTGAATATGTAATCTACCCAGTATCTGGCTAGAGGAGTATAATAGTTGAATATGTAATCTACCCAGTATCTAGAGGAGTATAATAGTTGAATATGTAATCTACCCAGTATCTGGCTAGTATAATAGTTGAATATGTAATCTACCCAGTATCTAGCTAGAGGAGTATAATAGTTGAATATGTAATCTACCCAGTATCTAGCTAGAGGAGTATAATAGTTGAATATGTAATCTACCCAGTATCTATCTAGAGGAGTATAATAGTTGAATATGTAATCTACCCAGTATCTAGCTAGAGGAGTATAATAGTTGAATATGTAATCTACCCAGTATCTATAGTTGAATATGTAATCTACCCAGTATCTAGCTAGAGGAGTATAATAGTTGAATATGTAATCTACCCAGTATCTAGCTAGAGGAGTATAATAGTTGAATATGTAATCTACCCAGTCTCTATAGTTGAATATGTAATCAACACAGAATCTGGCAACAGGAGTATAATAGTTGAATATGTAATCTACCCAGTATCTATAGTTGAATATGTAATCTACCCAGTATCTAGCTAGAGGAGTATAATAGTTGAATATGTAATCTACCCAGTATCTGGCTAGAGGAGTATAATAGTTGAATATGTAATCTACCCAGTATCTGGCTAGAGGAGTATAATAGTTGAATATGTAATCTACCCAGTATCTGGCTAGAGGAGTATAATAGTTGAATATGTAATCTACCCAGTATCTGGCTAGAGGAGTATAATAGTTGAATATGTAATCTACCCAGTATCTGGCTAGAGGAGTATAATAGTTGAATATGAGTTGACGCCTTGTGATTTTACTCTGTGTTGTGTTCCTATTGTAGTAACTGATCCGGACGACATTGGTGACCCTGATGACCTACATGAAAATGATGCTGACCACTCCAATGTCCACTTCCAGGGTCCAAGTGGAAAAGACCTTGGTAATTAATTAGTCAGAATAGTTCTTAATTAATGTATAGAAAATCTGTTTCTGAATGTAACACATAATACCAAAAATTGGGAAAAAATTGTTGAAAATATGGTTGATAATTTAAATTGATGGTGTGAACATTTTGATATGTATGTATGACACCAATAGGCATTTAAATATTTGTTTCGATATAATTGTAGATTTGTACATGTGAACTAGAAATATGTTGGTGTTGCTAATTATTCTATAACTACAATACAAAATCTCAATATTTGAAACCTTTGATGTTACAGGTGGTATCCCTGGTAGGTTATTGGGCCACTAACAAGTAGAATATACTGCCTGATCCTAACTATTACACTAACATCCTTCTCCTTGACTTACATAGATCTCCCTGTGTGATATAGGACTCTCTGTGTTACATAGGACCCTCTAAGACACATCAATCTATCTGTATGACATAAGACTCTCTGTGTAATGTAGGGCTCTTTGTGTGTCTGGGGACTCTTTGTGCGACATAGGACTTTGTGTATGATGTAAGACTGTGTGATATAGAACTCTTTGTACGAAGTAGGACTCTCTGTATGTTGTAAGACTGTGTGATATAGGACTCTTTGTACGACGTAGGACTCTCTGTATGATGTAAGACTGTGTGATATAGGACTCTTTGTGACGTAGGACTCTCTGTTTGACATATGACTCCTGTGTGTCATAGAAGTTTATGTGACATAGGACTTTGTGTGATGTAGTACTCTTTATGCAGCGTAGGACTCTATGTATGATGTAAAACTGTATGATGTGTAGGTTTCTCTGTGTGATATAGGACTCTGAGTGTGACATAGGATTCTCTGTGTGATATAGGACTCTGAGTGTGACATAGGATTCTCTGTGTGATATAGAACTCTGAGTGTGATATAGGATTCTCTGTGTGCTATGACTTTGTGTAATACAGTACTCACTGTTTGACATAGAACTCCTTGTGTGACATAGGACTCTATGTGACAAGGGTATGTCTATGTGGCGTAAGATTGTGTGTGACCTGAGATTCTCTGTGACTCCCGGTGTGAAATAGTACTCGGTGATGTAGGACTGTGTGACGTAGGATTCTCATAGAGAGGTAGGATCTCTCTTTGTGACGTAGGATTCTCTTCTGTGTTACATATGACTCTTTGTGTGACATAGGAGTTTTATGTGACATGACTTTGTCTGACATTGGATTCTGTATGATGTAAGACTTTCTTTGTGACAGGACTGTGTGTGTCATATAGACTCTCTGTAAGACACAGGACTGTATGTGACATAGGACTGTGTGTGTCATATAGACTCTCTGTAAGACACAGGACTGTATGTGACATAGGACTGTGTGTATCATATAGACTCTCTGTAAGACACAGGACTGTATGTGACATAGGACTGTGTGTGTCATATAGACTCTCTTTAAGACACAGGACTGTATGTGACATAGGACTGTGTGTGTCATATAGACTCTCTGTAAGACACAGGACTGTATGTGACATAGGACTGTGTGACATAGAACTACATGAAATCAGACTGTGTGTGTCATATAGACTCTGTATGACACAGGACTGTATGTGACATAGGACTGTGTGACATAGAACTGCATGAAATCAGACTGTGTGTCATATAGACTCTGTATGACACAGGACTGTATTAGACATAAGACTGTGTGACATAGAACTCTGCATGAAATCAGACTGTGTGATTTAGAACTCTCTGTGTGACATGTGGCTTAGGATTTTTCTGTGACATTGAGTTCTGGGTGACATGCGAACCTGTCTAACTTAGATGTGTCTGTGTGATATAGATCTTTTTATGTATATCCTCTTGATATCATTGTGTGCAGTGATTTGCGATATCTTTTTCTCTGAGTGATTTCATTTGATATCAACCTTTCACATATTCTAGGTTAAGAAATGCTTGTTCTGTATTTCTTTCTGCAATGTTTGGATTGCTTTATTACAAAATATTTTGTCCTAAACTTACTTCATGGGTGATTTTTTAGCCTTCTGAGTTTGATGTAATATATCAGCTTTTCTCCTTATTACTATACTATATACCAGGTATATATGTGGTATTTCTGACACACTGACTGCTTGGGACAAAGTCTCCAACATCTACTGATGGATACACTGTTCTCTATATTATTTCTGTGATAACATCAACACCTCCCCCTCCCCTATTCCCTGATAACTCTGCTGAGTTGATGGAGTTAAGTACTATGAATGTCTCTTAATGTTTCTCATATGATATTTATTACATTTTTGTTATGATTTTAGCCCACAATTGACAGATAGTTGCTTGTTAAAACTGCTCTTTGTCCTTCTGTCCATCTTTAAACAATTCTTATCATCACAATTTATGGAGAAGTGTTTTTTGATGGATGATGCTGTGAGTTTGTCTTGATCCTTAATTGTACATCGTTGATTAGGGGATTAGAAAGAAAGATGTTCATTATGGGATGGATCAAAAGAAAATATGGCTGATGGTTGGCCATCTTGATTTTATACAGTCACAGTTTGTTGTTGCTATTTTTGGAGAAGTACGGGATTAACCATTCAACAACAGCTTTGATAAGAGAAATTGAAGGAAAAAAAATACAAATTTCAAAAGAACATTTAAGGTCAAACAATGGTGGGCACCAAGATTCCTCATTCTTTTTTGGTTTATTTTGAAATTTGATAGGACAAAGATGTATTGTGAAAATTATATCCATATGTTGCATCACATCATATCCTGTCATGTCACATCACAAAATCAATGTGATACTGAGGACCTCAGCAGGACTATTGTAACATAGTGCCATGCCTGATCAGATTCTGGTTTGCTTAGAAGTGTGGATATTCAAGTCTTATAGACACTTTATAGCTGTGTTGGAGTTAATGATAATATAATTTAGACTTTTTCCAACAAATGTTTGTAAGAACCTCTTCATGATTTAGAAAAAAAGGGATTAATTTAGAAAATATAATTGGGGTTTAAGGTGTTGTTTACATTATATGTAAAAAGTTACTTAAATTGTCGTTTTCCTCTGCAGCCTCAATACTGCAGCAACATGGAGGACATGCTGTAGACTTCAAAGGAGAGTCCTTCACCTTTAAAGCGACCACTGCTGGTATCATAGCTACCTTATCCCACTGTATGGAGCTCATGTCTCAGCGAGAGGATGCCTGGAGAAAACGACTGGAAAAGGTGTTTGTTCATAATCATAGTATTCCTTATATCCCTTGTGTGGCTTTGATTTTCAAGAAAAGCAAAAATTAATAGACTTCCACATGTTTCGTGTTTCTGTTGAAGTAATGTTTTAGTAATCATTATGCTCTGCTTACTATGTTCTGGTAAAATACAACAAAGGGAGAAGTCTGTCAGTGAAATAGGAAAGAAAGAAAGAAAAGTAACTTGAATGTATGATAAAATTGTAAATAAAGATTAAATACTAATTAGTAAGATACTATCAATCCCTTGGAGATATTTTTGCAATTTTATTTTATTTTCAATAGTTTAATGGTGTATAAAAAGAGTTAAGAAGAGAATGTTAAAGCCATTCACAGCTGCTTGTAAAACTATTTATATATCTTAAAGTAATCTAGGGCAATGAAGACTTCCAAAATAAACTTTGACCATTAAGACTTTTTATTGATGTAAGGCTCAGACAATTTAGACCTCTTGATTTCACATCAGCAGTTTAGTCCACTTGTTTAACATTTAACAATGTTGTCTACAAATTCAGGTTCTTTAATACTATATTGGATATGCTCGTCATTTCATTCCCACAGGAGGTTGAAAGAAGGAAGAAGATGGAGGAAGCCTATAAAACCACTGTATCAGATCAAAGTAAACCAAGGCTTGTTATTGGTGGACCTGACTTTGAGGTAAGTCCTTTAACTGGACAAGATACAAACAGAGACATTCTGGAGTGTTACAAAAACTTGGGAAAAGCAGAGTTAAAATCAATAAAAACTTAACCTCCCTTAAAGGTTAGATAATCACATCATTTCAAAATTTTTATCACAGTAGCAATGTCTTTTGGGCTTAATGTTGGAACAGTATTTGATTGCAAAGTTAGGATCAAGATAAAGGTGGTTTTGTTAGTAACTATTATCTGCAGCTATAAATTAGGAGAAATTGGGGCATTCATGTTGGACAATATTGATGCATTGGAGATAAATACCAGAGAAGACAAATAAACTCAGACTCCGATCTTGATATTTGTGTGAGAGGGAGACAGCCATTTGGCCTGAGTCACAGAGTATACTGTTGCTTTCCAGGAAGGGCCACATTGTGCTATTAAAGAGGATGAGTTTTTTGATGCTGTTGATGCAAGTCTCGACAAACTAGAAGAGAAAGTAGAAGAAGAAAAGGTAGGATACTTATTCTGTCATCAAAATCTGTAATCATTTTTAAGCCATTCACTGATTAAGATGTTTCCGAATAAGAAATATGAAAAAGAGTAATCTAAGGATCACTGCAGAAAGCATTCTGTAGCACAGACACATTGGAAAAATGGAATTGAAGAGATTTCAATCCTAATGGTACTGAAATTTGATTGTCTAAAATTCTCTACATATTAATGGTACTTGTGTTACTTTTACAGCAAAGGAAATTAACAGAAGAAACTTCAAAGGATGTTCCAAACATTGCGCTGTCCCCTTCCAACCCACTTTACCAGGAGGTAGGTATTAAGGTCATATGTATATTTCAAATTCAAATTCCATTTTGTTACTGCTTATACCAATTTACACCTTGGTAGATGTCCTTGTCATATCATTGTTTTGATTCCAAACATCACCGTGTCACTCTCTAACACACTATTTAGAAGGCCTTGTGGATAAACTTCAACTCTTACCTTTCATTTGTTGCAGCAGTCATTGATAATAAACATGGTATTAGGTTACTTATTAGCCCCACAGGTAATACTAAAGAGGATTATGGGTCTGTCCATCAGTTGCCCCGAGAAGTTCATATAGGATTTTTCTGTTGGAAACTTAGATGTCAGATTTTGCATACAATAATGATGTAGAGTGTGAATAATCCCCTACTCAAGTGTTTATGGTAATATAGAGTTATGTCCCCTGGATTGACTTTGCACTGGTCATATTGACTTTATCACCTATGTAGATGCTAACTCTTACATGTGAGAGCCTCTTAGAATGGCAAAGGATTGCATTAAAAAACAACATTTGTTGATGATAGTATATACAGAGTTATAGTCCTTTGTATGGGTAAAGGTGAGGGATGATAGGTGGTGTTATTGTCTATAGATATTTCTAAGATTCACATTTCAGCTATAAAAGGCAATAATAATGGTCTTTTGTTAATTAATGACTTTCATTTAACATTATTACAATGGGATGTTTCTCCGCTGTATTCTTGCATGCTATATCAACAAAAGTCCAGATGAATATGTTATGTGATATTCTTAATATTTGAAGTTAAGCTTGTGAAGATTTCAACAGTATTTCAGAGTGAGTTTAAAAAGATTTGTTAGTTCTTGCCTGGATGGTACTTTTAGAACTCATTTGTAATGCTAAACTGTTGTAGATTAATGATGAAGTTAACAAGCATCTGCTGCGTATGGATGAGAAATGTGAAGATGGTGAGGACACATGGCAGGTCATTGCTGAGGAGGGAGACCTCAAGGTGTATAAACGCGAGATTGAGATTGATGGTGTTGTAGTTGATCCTCTCAAAGCCACACACATAGTCACGGTAAGTACACAACTATGCTGTTAGAGGTCAAGGTCATATAGCTAGCCTATCGTCGAAAGGTCAATGCTACACTTTCAGTTATGTAATAGAATTTAGTGTTGCACATAATTTTATGAAAGTCGTTATAGCTGATGTAAATCCTGTTAAATATATCAATGGTGTGTTGTGTTTTGGTTCACAGGGTATCACAGGACATGAAGTGTGTCACTACTTCTGGGATATTGATGTCCGGCTGGAGTGGGATGGTAAGCATGGAGATTTTTCTGGGTTGATTTAAGCACAGGCACTCGAGGCCAGGATATTATTTTTTAAACATTGATTTTTGTTTTAGCACTCATGACTGACGTTATTTAAACGAAATATCAGCAGAATTCAAGTTTATGTGCCGGTTGACAAATCCGAGGTCCACGGTCATTAAAAATACACAAGGCAAGCAACTCCAGATTTTAAAAAATCGACCCCTCGCTTGGAAACTGGCTCAAAAAAAGTAGTTATGATAAGTTCCTTGTAAAACAATATGTATCCGTAGGTAGTGTGTATATTTACCTTTTATTTGGTGCATAACATTACAGGCAACGAGAAATTCACAATACGTACATGAGATTAACATCTCAATAACCGGAGATTTTATCGTCCATGTAATTATCTTTGACGGAAGTAACATGCCATTTCAAGGGCGGTCACTCCGACTTTTTGGGAGAGGAGTTCCGGATAGCACTATACCAGTGAACAGGTAAGAAAGGTTCCGATGTCATTACGCGCGTAACTTCAAAATAGATATTTTTATTTCTACAAATACATTTGCGGGGATGGAAAAATAATGGCTGGGCAAAGAAAGTCCACATTTGCCAACTCGGATACAATATCATGGTAAGGGATTATACAGAATGCATCAACTTTCAATCAAGCTGGCGGTAATGAGAATTTTTTTTCAAAAGAAAAATAGAAAAAAATCATGCAGATAATGAAAAAAGGGCGCAATTTATGAAAAATATCGTGGGGGAAATATATTAACTTAGAAATTGGAAATAAAATGATTTTTTCCATAGTGATTTTTGTCAAGTTATTGAGAATATTTGAAAAGAAATACATATTACTTATTAACCAAGAGGCCCAAAGGGCTTGTATTGCTACAGGTACTGTATGTTTTGGCAAACATCCATACAATGGACTTCCTGACCAAATATCATGACCCAAGGCCTTTTTGGTTATCAGAAGATGTTATTTAAGGGTTTATCCATGACCTTGAATATAATGTCAAAGTAATATCTTTTCTCAAACTTTGTTGCCCTTCACCCAAGAAACATTTTAACAAACATCATGATCCCTGGACTTTTGGTTAATCGGAATAAGTCGTTTAAAAAATCAACACATTGGACCAAAGTGACCTTGAATAAAGGTCAATGTATTTTTTTGCTGCAAACGGTGTAGGGCTTTATCTAAGGAACGATATTTTTCATAAATTGTGCCTCTTTTCAAATATTCTCAATAACTTGACAAAAATCACTATGGAAAAAATCATTTAATTTCCAATTTCTAAGTTAATATATTTCCCCCACGATATTTTTCATAAATTGCGCCCTTTTTTCATTATCTGCATGATTTTTTTCTTATTTTTTTTTTTTTTTTTGAAAAAAAAATTCTCATTACCGCCAGCTTGATTGAAAGTTGATGCATTCTGTATAATCCCTTACCATGATATTGTATCCGAGTTGGCAAATGTGGACTTTCTTTGCCCAGCCATTATTTTTCCATCCCCGCAAATGTATTTGTAGAAATAAAAATATCTATTTTGAAGTTACGCGCGTAATGACATCGGAACCTTTCTTACCTGTTCACTGGTATAGTGCTATCCGGAACTCCTCTCCCAAAAAATCGGAGTGACCGCCCTTGAAATGGCATGTTACTTCCGTCAAAGATAATTACATGGACGATAAAATCTCCGGTTATTGAGATGTTAATCTCATGTACGTATTGTGGATTTCTCGTTGCCTGTAATGTTATGCACCAAATAAAAGGTAAATATACACACTACCTACGGATACATATTGTTTTACAAGGAACTTATCATAACTACTTTTTTTGAGCCAGTTTCCAAGCGAGGGGTCGATTTTTTAAAATCTGGAGTTGCTTGCCTTGTGTTTTTTAATGACCGTGGACCTCGGATTTGTCAACCGACACATAAACTTGAATTCTGCTGATATTTCGTTTAAATAACGTCAGTCATGAGTGCTAAAACAAAAATCAATGTTTAAAAAATAATATCCTGGCCTCGAGTGCCTGTGGATTTAAGGCCAATAATAAGTCTTAGTTTCAATTAAAAATTTGCTAACATTGATATAATGTATTCCTGGTTATTCCAAAAAATTTTCGGCGTTTGAAATTTCCCATGTAGTAAGCACATGCCTTACACAGTACAGTTCCAATGTCCCACTTCAAAATTTTGTTGCAACCTGGGGCTTAGTGTTTCATGAACACATATTGTTCTTCCTTGAGTGACACAAAAAGCCAAAATTGAGAGAGAGAAAATAAGCCACTTTAGCAAGAATTCATTTACATGTGAATTATTCATTTTCTTTTATTTTCAGTAACATTAGAGTCAAGTGTCGCTACTGAGGTTCATTCAGAAGATACCATTGTGAGTCATAACATTGTCAAACGAGTTTGGCCAACCTCACAGCGTGACGCTCTCTTCTGGTCTCATATACGTCATGTGCCAAGCTCTCAGGATGAAACTCCTGACCGTTGGTTGGTGGTCAATGTTTCAACTAACCATCCCAAAGTCCCAGTAAGTATGTTGTCAGGGGGATTAGGTAATACGAATGTATATGTAAAGAGAAAAATAATTTTCATTTTTATTATTTGTGATTTTTAAAGCTAGGATATTCAGACTTGCTGTTGATTTTCTGCAATTTTTGTAAAAGAACTAAAAAAATATTGATATTCATCTTTAATATTCTTAACCTTACTTGAGCTTCTTGCATTCATTCATAGGTCTTACAGCATTTTGGATGTCTGATTATAAGATCTGAATATTTTACTATCAAGATAATTCATATAGCTATTTTGAGCAAAATCTTTTATATTTTCAGTCCAACAAATTTGTCAGAGTTACTATGAATGTTGCCATGATATGTGAAACAATAATAGAACCACCAAAAGATGGCGGTGACATCACACGAGAAAACATCAAGTGTAAAATTAGCTACACTGCTGATGGTAAGTAATTCAATTCATTGGCTATACATATCTATGAGTAGCTTCATGCTTGTAAATTGCCTGCTGTACTATTAGATAGGAGAATAGGTGGTGCTAAATCATTCCTAGTGTGCACTACCTTGTTCTTGTGTGCCCTTTCACCTTACCTTCCAAAGTTTTGCATGTAAGGGTGTCCACTGATGATGATGTTAATTAGAACTTTCCTTCTGAAATATTTTCTTACACATCTAGAGTTACAACCCCTCTCTGTTCACCCTGCATTTCTTTTACCAAGGCATTTGTCACTCATAAAATCTCTCAGTTACAGCTTCAAACTTTTGAATGTAAGTTCCAGTTTGGAAACAGGAGTGTTACATACTGAAATAACGTATCATTCTCTCGTTAAAGTTCACTTGTTACAACTAGTCATTTGCCATTTGAAGCATTTTGCAGGGAATATCTCATAGATCTGACATTATTTAAAGCTGACAAGTTTTGCATATGGTACCTATTCAGATAAGAAATATCACATACTTAAATCTGGTATATTTTTTGCATCATACATTTGCACAAAGTGATGGTTTTAATGTTCACTCTGTGTTTAATTTTCAGTAAATCCAGGTGGATGGGCCCCTGCATCAGTATTACGAGCAGTGTACAAGCGAGAGTATCCTCGTTTCTTGAAGCGATTCACACAATTTGTTCTGGACAAAACCAAAGACCAACCCATTCTCTTCTAACCAGCATTGACATCATCATGTTGAAAATCTGGCTTTGCCTACCACTGTGATGTAAGCACTGCAAAAACTATTTCTTTGAGATATGGTCATGTGTTATTTCAACACAACAGATGATTTCAAAATACTTCTAAGCAATGGCAAAGGAAGATGTTTGATGCACGGAAGATACAGGGAAGCAATCGTCAATGTTCCCAAAAGAAACATACTGGTAATGAAAATGGGAAAGAAATATCTCCTCATGATATTTAAGGTGTATGGTTTTTACTGGATGTTTTGTTAAGAAAAGTATTAATGATTTAATGTATATTGACAAGGTGAAAATTCTTCTAAACATAGGTTAGTAAACTTTTTCTACTTCATGATAGACATCTAGTCATATTGCTTTGCTGGATCAGTATAATTACAATTTCTTTACTTTTTTATGGTACATAAATCTACATTTAAACTCATCTTGCTAATATCTGTATTCATTTCTTTATCTTTGGGGCTTAAGTTTTGATGAAAGAAATTAATAGGGGATAAAAGATATTGATTTTTTCTAATCGATGTTGGGCATATACAGTATTTATTTGGCAATAGACCCATATCTGGTAACATGCACGCCCTAAGGAATACAAAAACATGTGATTTATTGTTCTGTGATTACCCTTGGGCTTACTACTGGATAAATATAGTGTGACAAAAAATGAAAGGTATAAAATCTAAACACTATGAATTCAAGTCTTGTCAATTTATTTTCCCATGCAAATTTTAAGATATAAGAATTTAAAGTCACATCTTCATTTTCTATGCTGTACATGTAGTTTCCTTGTAAAAGAACATGTAATTTTTTTAATCCTTTGATTGGCATAAGTGAGATGGTGATATGAAAGCTTTATGCATCATTAGCTATATTTGCTTTACTATACACGAGAAATAATAATGTATATTACTCATTGTCCTTGGCATGAGGTCTGCTGGAGGTCTTACCTTGATAGGACACCAGAGTATCTGAGAAACCATGAATTATGAGGCACATTCTCCTAGGTTTTGTTGCCTGGTTGAGGAAAGGCCAGTAAGGTTTCCTTTGTGTTACCCAACCACATCCAAATCATGTTAAGCATTATGTTCTCATCTGTGTCACATAATCGAATTCCGTCACAATAAAACAAGATCAAACTTGTAAATAAGTGGATTAAGATATACACATTTTGTATAACGAATTATTACTGATTTAATTGATAATCCCATTATGATCAAAGTGTCGAGGGAACCATTAGCATGCAATTTCATTTTGTTCAGTTTCTCAATCTGTTTGAGAAACATAACTTTCTTCTTATTCTCTTGGCAAAATGAAATCTTGTTTAAAATATGTACACCATATATTTTTATGAGATCAACATGTAGTTTTCATTGATATTAAAACTGAAGAAAATTCCCCCAAACATGAGTCATTAAGATGTCGCACCAGACAAATCATCTTCCGTAACATTGAAGTTATATGTTTCTATTTGTACATGTTTATAAGAGTGTTAAGGGATGAGAGTGTGAGTGTTTAATTATGCATATAATTAAAAATTTGAAATATTAATATTTAAAAAATCAGAAAATCTATGGGTTTTTTTTTCCTAAAGGTTTGGGATATGATTAAGTCTGAGAATTTTGTTGGTATGTACTGAGTGGAAAGAATTTCATATCTGTGAAAAATCGGGTATATGATGATTTTTGAGGATACTCATTTATATAGGAATCTTTCCATGAATATTGATTCCATTTATTACAACTGTCAATCTTGATTGTAAGACTGACTGCTCAATCACACAGTGAAGTCAAGGGAGGGCCTATGGACACAGTCAATGAAATAGATTTAACACCAAAATATGGGTAGTTTTTTATCTGTCACTTATACAAACAAGAATATCATGCATTGCATGGATTTAAGCAGTACAATTTTACATGGGAAGATATTGTGGTACAAAATCTACTCTATCAGTTGATCTATAGTCTTATATTTAACCTCCTATTTTCACATTTACTCTTGTTTTAGGTGTAAATATCTGAAGCAGTCTTTTTCCTTTAAAACATGATTGCCCAAGATATCTGTTGTATATATTTCTCCTGATTGTCCAGAGAAGAAGCTCTTTATGTCACCATATTTTGTTTGTATCCTCGTGTTTATTTTACTATTTTTATTGATGCTGTTTGCAGGGTTTTCATGTTATCAGAAAGATGGCAGGAGGGGTGGGGTTCTGAACTTGCTTCTAGCAGTACTTATAAGTTAAAAATATAAATCTGGAAAATGTATGATATACAGACTTATTATAACTTACCATATAATGCCTTATCAAACAAGATATCATTTAACTGCCAGATTTTGCTATCTTGATCTGTAAATCCATTCTGCTGTTTACATCATGTTGGTTCTGCAGCAATATGTATACAGAATGTAGTATTTTTGCCAGAAGAAATAGTCACCATAAAAGGTTGTATTTAAGTTGTGTTGCTTTAACATGTGTTGTTGGCTCATCCTTGTACAGTTTTTGAGACCTCACTTTGCTAACTATTAGTACATGTGCTGGGAATACTGGGGAACACAAAAGTTTAGTTAGTATATTTTTTGACAATATGAAAGATACAAGTGGTATTTGGTTCTCCGTTATGTGTGGGAAACTCATAAAACATTATGCTGGATTAGTCAGGATATCAGAATTCTGTGACAGATGTCTTATTACATAGATCACTGCGATGCTGTCAGTGTTGTGATAGAAAACGTTTTGCTCTATAAGGAAAATGAGGGAGGGGAGAGTTGTATGTTACCAATTTAACATTCTGATTCTAAATGTTAATGTATTCCAAATTTAACTGTGATATATGCTATTCGAGCATTTATTAAAATGAGACAAATTTAATGCTTGCTTGTTACATAGTTTACAGCTAAACTGTAGAGAGTAAAATTTCTGTTAGAGGGCAGTTCTTGTTGGATGAAGACTACATACAACGTGAGGGAATTCTGTTGGAAAATTTATAAAATGGAAGTGAAAAAAAATGTTTTGAACAGGACTGTTGACAAGGTATAACGAAGCCATGCTTTCATTAGTCTTTGTCAATATTTAATCCTTTTCTAAAAAAAATGTATCTGTGGTGATTTGGATGAACTGGGCATTGTTAGGATGTTTATAGCTTATTTTAATTATGAATTCCTTTCCTTATTGAATTATATATCATATGAGATTTTTGTACTTGAGTGATGTACTGAACCAACTTGTAGCAGGATATGTGATGAGTATACAGGTAATTTGTTAATGTTCTCTACACAATATTTCATACATTTGTTTTTTTCCCTGAGACAGGAATTTTGGGTCATTTCAGGATTGAATCTGTTCTACATTGTTAGTGGAAAATAGTTGTCATAGGATTTTGCTTATTATTGATACCATCAAAAATGCTAATGAAAGAAGTAACAAAATTTTATTTAAAGGAAAGTCTTAAATTTTTCATTTGCAAACCATTACCCATAACGCTTTCCCGGTAAAATTGAAGCCAGTCAACGTTCAGAAGTCCGTGTGGACTGAGATTGAACCATCTTTTGGGAGTTCAGAATTCAGTTAATGAACTGTGTGAACCATTACTTGGGAGCTCAGAAGTCAGTTATGAAGCTTTCTGTAAGAACCATTGTTAGTGAGTTAAGAAGTCTGTTAATAAATTTCCAATGTGAACCATAAAAGACGAGTTCAGAAGTCAGTTAACAAGCTCTCTTTAAGAACAATTGCTGGAAAGTTGAGAAATCTGTTAATTAACTTTCAGTGTGAACTGTTCCTGACAAGTTAAGAAGTCAGTTTAGGAATATTCTATAAGAACCATTGCTAGCGAGTTCAAAAGTTGGTAATAAAATTCATATGTGAACCATAAGTAATAGCGCTGAAGTCAGTTTAGGAACTGTATGCAAGAACTATTACTGGCTTGTTCAGAAGTCAATTTAGGAACTTTCTGTCAGAACCATTACTGGCTAGTTCAGAAGTCAATTTAGGAACTTTCTGTCAGAACCATTACTGGCTAGTTCAGAAGTCAATTTAGGAACTTTCTGTCAGAACCATTACTGGCTAGTTCAGAAGTTTGTTGATAAATTTTCTGTGGAACTGTAAATGACCAGTTCAGAAGTCAGTTAAATAATAAGTTCTCTGTAGAACCATTGCTGGCAAGTTCAGATGTCTGTTTCTGAGCTTCTACTAGAAAGTTCAGAGACCAGATTTTGAAGTCAATTAATGAACCATTATTCAGAGCTTAGATAATGAACTTTCTGTCTGAAATATTGTTAGAGAGTTCAGAGGTCAGTTAATGAATTTTCTATCTGGGCAATTACTAGAGAGGTCAGAAGTCTATATGTGCTTGTGTCTTGCAGTTTTTGTATATTTTCAGAAGTACTATTTTATACTGTGAGGTAAAATGCATTTGTGTGGAGTAATAGACCATATTTATTTTCTAAATAATGTTTTATATAATGAAATTATTTACTATGTGAATATCCTTTTTTGCAGCAGTTCTGTTGTGAAATAATGTACATCACAAGGCTGCAATAAATACATATGAAATATTTAACCTTGAGTCCTTTTTTATTACAACCAAAAATAAACCAAGATAGACATTATACATTTATTTTGAAAGAAGGAAATGATTTTATAGCAGTTATGTTCATATCCTTTCACACTGTATATATAATTGTCTCAAATGTATTTGCAGACATGTATATAAATGTTGCCTTGTAGAACAAATGTAACACACAGTTAGTCTCAGTTGATACAAGCAGCTAAGGACATGTAACCATCTGGTCCTTGGTAGCACTTAACCTGACAGGAAGTTTTCTTCTTACCAAAGGCACCATCACAGACTGAGATACAGCTGCTGAGACGAAGCTGGGCTTGCTGTTTGCAATCTTTTAGAACTGTCTTGTCGACACAATCTTGGCCAGTTGATAACTGGGTCTCAGCCAAGAGGAGGCAAATTATGACCAGGGTTATCTGAAACATATAAGAAGAGTATAGCTTAGCAATCAGCTTGATCAAGTTTTTGATGGCGTACCCTTCAAATCACCCTACATCCATGGTCCATCCATCCGTGAACAACACTTATTATGCTATTTCTTAAGAAGTACAGGATGTGTCTACTTTAAATTTCATGTGTAGGTGCCCCAAAGTCACTAGTTGTTTCCTTATGATTTTGGAAGTGATCAGAAAAAGTTGTTGACAGGCAGCCATCTAGGATTTTGACAACGGAAGTTTATCTCTACTACTGGATAGATTTTCTTGATTTTATGTTTGGTTTCCCTTGGTCCTTAGCTGTCTTCATATGATTTAGAAACATATCAGAAAAACAAAATTGCTACCACAAGTGTATATTTCTTTGAAGAATATCCATATTATCAACAGCAGAGATTGGAAAACTAGGCATTCCAAAAATACACGGGAAAAATATTCTTGACATTCCTGAAATACATAGTTGATTTCTTTTTTTCGGATTGTACATGTACATAGTAAGTCAACAGTTTTAATGGTCGATGTTTGACATCTCTTCATTTTTATATTATCGATTCCCTATATCTAATTATAATGTGCAACATTCCTTTTATCTTTGACATTTCACCTTCTAAATAAAGTACTACATCAGTGTTAATGTTTGACCTTTGACCTATACATTTTGTTATTTCACCTTCCCATCTCCTATATCTCCAAGGTACTACATTCGTGGTTTTGTTTGACCTTTGACCTCCTTACAGTTTGATAATTCACCTTCACATTTATAATTATAAGGTTCTACTGTCGTGGTAATGTTTATTCTCCTTTGAACTGGAGTATTGCGCATGTGTCAATATTTTGTCATTACATTGTTGTCAATGTTTGATATCTGACGTTTTTATTTAAGACATTCTAACCTTTAACCTCTTTGAATGTTTGACCTCAATGAACATTTGTAATTATGGTTATCTAACCTCTTACCTTTAACCTTCCCGTATCAATTTTTGACCTCAATATATCCAAGACAATGTCTTAATTCAGACATTTTGAAGCAGTACACATGATGTCCATTTACCTTGTAAACTTCCAAATGATGTCACTTACCTTCATTTTGTTGCTATCGCCACGACAAGTGAATATCCAAATGAAGTGACCTTTAAATAGACCTGCTTAAGTAGGCAACATCTGTACACAATACCTGTAAACAACATCTGTAAACATTATCTGTACACAATATCTGTAAACTATCTGTAAACAACTGGCATGTGTTTAAAGATTAAATCTTATTTTAATTAAAGGCAGTTGGTAAATGATCGGTCGTTATTTGCCGTAAGCAGTAATTCATACGTGGATTTTATATTTAAACAGATGTGTCACAACAGATGAAACATGATTTGACTAATACACTGAGATGTCAGAATTCCATAACGAATTACAATTATATCCGATCCAAGCCAACAAGGACAATTTAAAAAATCAAGAAAATACCAACAAGGCAAAATAATCATAATTCAAACTCAAATTCCATTAAACTAGGACAAAATATGAACAAAGGAAATATTTACACGGAGACTCCTGATAAAGTACAAGGAGAATAAGACAAAATGTTCCAGAAGAGTAAGCGTCCTCTGCTTCATCGACGGCACCCGCCATTTATAAGTTATACGATTGTTGAGCAACACTTATAAAATAAGTTTCTATAAAGAATTAGTTTTGTCAGCTGCTACTACACTGCCTGAACTTACATTATCTAATAGTGACTCGTGCAATCAATACATATTCTAAACAGGATTTCACGAGAAGTCTTGATAAATGGTTTTAGTATTTTGATTTCCATGTGTCATTGAGATAATGATTATCTTACAACATGATTAAAAAAACCAACAGCTATTATCTCTTAGAAATGGATAGAAAATTCTAAAATTTCGAACGTCTATCCGTCTCTTAGAGACCATGGCGTATTTAGCTTTTATATACGATGTAAGTTTATTCACAAAACAAGCGAATTAAGTGGAAGGAATTTGATCATTTGGTATATATGAAATCAAGTTTAAATCTTTGTGTGGATTTGATGAATGAAATATCGAATCATATAACAATTGCCATCTTTTGTCAAGTTTTCATCACCAGATATTGATAACACCCAGTATTAAACATGCTGAAGTTGTGTAAAACAATAACCCCAGTAATGCATGTGGAATAACACACACACTCAGAATTGTAAGGTCGACTGATCTTCATATATTGGCGATGATCACCATTGCTCCGTGAAGTCAACAATTTATATATTTCAGAATTATTAATGGGCATCACCAAGTCCGACAAGAATCAGGGGTCTGGTTTTGGTGTTATAAGGTCGTATTCTTTACCCTTATGATAAAAACCGGCTTGATCATACAATGAATCACGTAAATTATCTACACATATACCTCTCATGGTGATATCTTGGTCATATTCGATATCAAAATGGTGGACAAGAATATTGATTCTAGAGATGAAAGTAAAAAGAAAAGAAACAGTACAATACACACGTAATGATTACATGTTGCACGAACCTTGTAAGTACGGATATTTTTATACTGTGTTTTTGGCTGACACTTCATAATCTGAATGTTTGGTTCATTCTTCCATATGAAACCTTACTATTGTAGTCCAGATATCTAAGGATTAGTTTACCGGTTTGTTGAGGTTATCGAGGGATAACTAGGATTGAAGTCGGGTACATTGAATAACTGGCGAAGCCGGTAATGTAGGATTTACTCGAGTCCAATTGCAGTTATTCCCGATAACCTAAACAAAATAGAAAGTTAACGCCTTTATTTGTAGTTTCCTTGAAATACAGTTTCATGTTTATCTATTCGAAAGTCTACAGATACAAAATATCGATAACATTCAAGTTTGCCGGCCTAATAACTGCCATAATAAAACAGCATATCTAATTTACTAATAACACAGCGACAAAATATTTCACAAAAATTCATATATCATTTTCGTAAATACGAAATTCCAATGTTTATTCTACCTAATATTGACATTCTATTAAAACAAATTAAAAAAAAACTCAAAAGTTTGACAAAGGTTGGTATAAGGACCTTTTGCAAACGAATTATATTTCATGAATGCATTTTAGAACGCGCAAACTCCAGGTGTGCGATACGATGACGTTACCTAGCTTCATAACGTCACTTCACTACGCGGGTAAGAGGGGCTGGGGAGGGAGGGGTTCGCCATCAGTGTATATTGATTTAGAATATTACTTATTTATATTTCAAACGAACCTTTTTCGGTTGTCCAGACTTATGTTATCAGGTTTAATCCGAAACTTCCCTAATCCGAATGTTTTGGGCAATATTCCAACGAAACCTTGTCACTGTAGTCGAAATATTTAGGATGTGTTTATGATAAAACATCATTTATCCTAATGTTTTTGGTGTCGTTTCCATCGATACATTATTAGCCGGATATACTTGGGCCATGTGTTTATCGGTCTGTCTCCATCTATTGTGGAGACGCTCTTTGGAACGTAAGGGGAAGCCATCAAGTAATGTGGATTTCTGCTGATGGTATACTGTGTCCCACGATCAATATAAATGATGTACACAGCCAAGCCCCACTCGTCATCTCTACAATAGCAGACTACAAATAAGAGGTTTATACCCTCTCCTCATCGATTATATCCTCTTCTCATTGAAAAAAAGGAAAATACGACCACACGCAACGCTAATTTCAGCAGACTCTTACCGCTGGTGGCACTTAACTGATCTTTATATTAAATTATGTAAAATTAACAGCAGACTGTTCCGTCCTTTGTAAGTGTCTGAGTTACTGTATGTAGGTTGTCAGAGTTATTCTGTTTAAGACGTGTGTGTTAATTTTGTAGGATGTCTGTGTTACTGTGTGTATGTTGTCTGTAGTACCTTGTGTAGGATGTCTGTGTTACTGTGTGTATGCTGTCTGTAGTACCCTGTGTAGGATGTCTGTGTTACAGTGTGTATGTTGTCTGTAGTACCCTGTGTAGGATGTCTGTGTTACTGTGTGTATGTTGTCTGTAGTACCTTGTGTAGGATGTCTGTGTTACTGTGTGTATGTTGTCTGTAGTACCTTGTGTAGGATGTCTGTGTTACTGTGTGTATGTTGTCTGTAGTACCCTGTGTAGGATGTCTGTGTTACTGTGTGTATGCTGTCTGTAGTACCTTGTGTAGGATGTCTGTGTTACTGTGTGTATGTTGTCTGTAGTACCCTGTGTAGGATGTCTGTGTTACTGTGTGTATGTTGTCTGTAGTACCTTGTGTAGGATGTCTGTGTTACTGTATGTATGTTGTCTGTAGTACCTTGTGTAGGATGTCTGTGTTACTGTGTGTATGTTGTCTGTAGTACCCTGTGTAGGATGTCTGTGTTACTGTGTGTATGCTGTCTGTAGTACCTTGTGTAGGATGTCTGTGTTACTGTGTGTATGCTGTCTGTAGTACCCTGTGTAGGATGTCTGTGTTACTGTGTGTATGTTGTCTGTAGTACCTTGTGTAGGATGTCTGTGTTACTGTATGTATGTTGTCTGTAGTACCTTGTGTAGGATGTCTGTGTTACTGTGTGTATGTTGTCTGTAGTACCTTGTGTAGGATGTCTGTGTTACTGTGTGTATGCTGTCTGTAGTACCCTGTGTAGGATGTCTGTGTTACAGTGTGTATGTTGTCTGTAGTACCCTGTGTAGGATGTCTGTGTTACTGTGTGTATGTTGTCTGTAGTACCTTGTGTAGGATGTCTGTGTTACTGTGTGTATGTTGTCTGTAGTACCTTGTGTAGGATGTCTGTGTTACTGTGTGTATGTTGTCTGTAGTACCCTGTGTAGGATGTCTGTGTTACTGTGTGTATGCTGTCTGTAGTACCTTGTGTAGGATGTCTGTGTTACTGTGTGTATGTTGTCTGTAGTACCTTGTGTAGGATGTCTGTGTTACTGTGTGTATGTTGTCTGTAGTACCTTGTGTAGGATGTCTGTGTTACTGTATATATGTTGTCTGTAGTACCTTGTGTAGGATGTCTGTGTTACTGTGTGTATGTTGTCTGTAGTACCCTGTGTAGGATGTCTGTGTTACTGTGTGTATGCTGTCTGTAGTACCTTGTGTAGGATGTCTGTGTTACTGTGTGTATGCTGTCTGTAGTACCCTGTGTAGGATGTGTGTGTTACTGTGTGTATGCTGTCTGCAGTACCTTGTGTATGCTGTCTGTGTTACTGTGTGTATGTTGTCTGTAGTACCCTGTGTAGGATGTCTGTGTTACTGTGTGTATGCTGTCTGTAGTACCTTGTGTAGGATGTCTGTGTTACTGTGTGTATGCTGTCTGTAGTACCTTGTGTAGGATGTCTGTGTTACTGTGTGTATGTTGTCTGTAGTACCCTGTGTAGGATGTCTGTGTTACTGTGTGTATGTTGTCTGTAGTACCTTGTGTAGGATGTCTGTGTTACTGTGTGTATGCTGTCTGTAGTACCCTGTGTAGGATGTCTGTGTTACTGTGTGTATGTTGTCTGCAATACCTTGTGTAGGATGTCTGTGTTACTGTATGTATGTTGTCTGTAGTACCCTGTGTAGGATGTCTGTGTTACTGTGTGTATGTTGTCTGTAGTACCTTGTGTAGGATGTCTGTGTTACTGTGTGTATGTTGTCTGTAGTACCCTGTGTAGGATGTCTGTGTTACTGTGTGTATGTTGTCTGCAATACCTTGTGTAGGATGTCTGTGTTACTGTATGTATGTTGTCTGTAGTACCCTGTGTAGGATGTCTGTGTTACTGTGTGTATGTTGTCTGTAGTACCCTGTGTAGGATGTCTGTGTTACTGTGTGTATGTTGTCTGCAGTACCCTGTGTAGGATGTCTGTGTTACTGTGTGTATGTTGTCTGTAGTACCTTGTGTAGGATGTCTGTGTTACTGTGTGTATGCTGTCTGTAGTACCCTGTGTAGGATGTCTGTGTTACTGTGTGTATGTTGTCTGCAATACCTTGTGTAGGATGTCTGTGTTACTGTATGTATGTTGTCTGTAGTACCCTGTGTAGGATGTCTGTGTTACTGTGTGTATGTTGTCTGTAGTACCTTGTGTAGGATGTCTGTGTTACTGTGTGTATGTTGTCTGTAGTACCCTGTGTAGGATGTCTGTGTTACTGTGTGTATGTTGTCTGCAATACCTTGTGTAGGATGTCTGTGTTACTGTATGTATGTTGTCTGTAGTACCCTGTGTAGGATGTCTGTGTTACTGTGTGTATGTTGTCTGTAGTACCTTGTGTATGCTGTCTGTGTTACTGTGTGTATGCTGTCTGTAGTACCCTGTGTAGGATGTCTGTGTTACTGTGTGTATGTTGTCTGTAGTACCTTGTGTAGGATGTCTGTGTTACTGTGTGTATGTTGTCTGTAGTACCTTGTGTAGGATGTCTGTGTTACTGTGTGTATGCTGTCTGATTTACTTCGTGTAAGATGTTGGTATAATTGTGTGCAGGATGTGTGTGATACTGCGTGTGGATTGTATGTGGTACATTAAGTTTGTGTATGTTGTTTGATTTAATTTGTGTAGAAAGTTCGTGTTACTGAGTGTGAGAGGTGTGTATTGCTGTGTGCACGATGTGTGTCTTTGTGCGTAGAATGTGTGTGTTATTCTGTATAGGATATGTATGTTACTGAGTGTGGATGTGTGTATTAATGTGTGTAGGATGTGTGTGTTATTATGCGAATATTATATGCGTTATTCTGTATGTGTGTCTGTGATGATTGCGTTACTATGTGTAAGATGTGTGTGTGTGTTACTATGATTAGGGTGTCCGTTACTGTGTGTAGGGTGTCTGTTACTGTGTGTAGGGTGTCTGTTACTGTGTGTAGGGTGTATGTTATTGTGTGTAGGGTGTCTGTTACTGTGTGTAGGGTGTATGTTATTGTGTGTAGGGTGTATGTTATTGTGTGTAGGATGTATGTTACTGTGTGTAGGGTGTAAGTTATAGTGTGTAGGGTGTCTGTTACTGTGTGTAGGGTGTCTATTACTGTGTGTAGGGTGTCTGTTACTGTGTGTAGGATGTCTGTTACTGTGTGTAGGGTGTCTGTTACTAGGTGTAACGTATATGTTATTGTGTGTAGGGTGTCTGTTACTATGTGTAGCTGCTGTGTGTAGGGTGTATGTTACTAGGTGTAGGGTGTCTGTTACTAGGTGTAAGGTGTATGTTACTGTGTGTAGGGTGTCTGTTACTAGGTGTAAGTTACTGTGTGTAGGGTGTATGTTACTGTGTGTAGGGTGTCTGTTACTATGTGTTGTTGCTGTGTGTAGGGTGTATGTTACTGTGTGTAGGGTGTCTGTTACTGTGTGTTGTTGCTGTGTGCAGGGTGTATGTTACTGTGTGTAGGGTGTCTATTACTATGTGTAGTTACTGTGTGTAGGGTGTCTGTTACTGTGTGTTGTTGCTGTGTGCAGGGTGTATGTTACTGTGTGTAGGGTGTCTATTACTATGTGTAGTTACTGTGTGTAGGTTGTCTGTTACTAGGTGTAAGGTGTATGTTACTGTGTGTAGGGTGTCTGTTACTGTGTGTTGTTGCTGTGTGTAGGGTGTCTGTGTTACCCTGTGTATGATGTCTGATTTACTTTGTGTATTTACAATGTCTGTATAACTTGGGTTGATGTCTGTGTTACTCCGTGTGTGGTGTCTCTATTTTCTGTAGAAAATACAGTTCCTTCATTTAGTGTAATCAGCTTGTGTTGACCTCGAATTATGATCCGAATATCCCTGTCTTAGGAATGGGCGGGAACTGTGATTGTAAAGCCACAAATTCTGTTCCATTGTATGACTTCGTCAGGCAATCGACACCGTGAGCAATTGAATTCGTCTATTGCTTCATTCCTGCTACTTTCTCAGTGTGGTGACAATTGCTTGCCAAACGCCTTCGTCAATATCAGTATATTCTTACATGTATAATGACTATTTATGAGTATAAACAGAGAGAGGAGGTATATAGTGACGAATAGATTCAACATGGTTTTATAAATAACAATTTCAGTTGGATATCACGCACGGAGGGACGGCAGCCTTGCTTCTACAGGTTTTGATAAGACCGTTGTAGTGATTGTGTTTGAGCTATATGGTGCCGATTCCAGCATCGGCAGTCTGGTGTTGAATATAAATTCCACCAGTCCGCAATGTATAAAGCTAACCTTGTGTATATATAGCTGAATGTCTACGTGACGATGGAATATGGAAACAGTCAGCATTCTCTAGCTATGAAAAAAAATGTCTGACCGAGAACCGATAACGGTGTGAATTCGTCTTTAACAAGCAGCTCTGAGACTGGATTATTAGACTTGGTGGTGGTGAGGCGTGTTTGTGCCATATACCGGTACTGTGGAAGGAATGGATGCTGTTCTGTTTCTCTGTATCGGGCTAGCCATTATAGGATACACCTATGGTGAGTGTTACCTGTGATTTACGTAGAATTAGCGGTCGATAGCATACTGATTAAAGCTGCGGAGTAGCTTTAGACGAAATCCATGGTTCAACACCCGTCTTATAAACATCTATATGGTTATATTGCTATATTGGAAAATACTACCAGTAACCTGACCTGAGATTATAATGTACGTATGTGTACTTCATGTATACGTGTAGATATTAGGGTATAAACAGTCATTAAGGCACTTTTAAGAGCCTCTCGAATCTTTATTCACTACCGCCTTCCTCCTTCAAAATGTCTCCATACCACGAGCAATAATCTTATCTCGCTTACAGAGAACAGGTTATCAAGAAACTGGGTCTATTTTATACATCATCCTATGTTGATGGAATTATTTGAAATGTCTTATTATAATAATAGAATGATAATAAAAACAACAGATTAGGACCATGTATATGTACGTTTGTTCATCAAAACTGGATCGACAGCAGTGATTACTTGACATTGGTGTTTTGACATTGGATATACAGATAGGTGTTTATGGTTGGACAGCGGGACAAATATAGATTGGAGTTCCTATCTAAAATTTAGAATACCAATGTGATAGTCTTTATGTTCATAAACTCAAGTGAGTTTTAATTTACAGGTCAAGGACTAACATCAGCGGTAGCATTGGATATCATGTAACTTGGTTGTTTTTAACGTACACTACACTGAAAATAAAATACTAAAGGCCATTAGAAATTATCTGTAAAAATCGAATCCAATAAATATGACGCCACCAGTTTTTGGGCGTTAATCTATTATATAATTCATTACTTCAGGAATAACAAAAACTATAGAAATTAACTAAAATAGATTTAACTCGATGACGTAAACCGACGTGTGGTTGATACAGGTACACTGGCGTTGTGGATAAACTCGTACCTATATTAAAAGGGAGGGGATTCAGTATTAATACACAGACATGTGTTTTAATAGAGAAATTAAAATGCAATTACATATAAGTTGATTGGCCGATGATGTAACATGATTAGCTCACAATTTGCATATGATGCTAATAGGCAGACCTTTGCGTTGATTCGTGTACAACAAGGTGAAGTGCTGCTAATGTCTCTGCGGAGAACTGGGCCTAGTTAAAATGTCAATTTTTAAGGCGTAGGATTCGTCAGGCATGATTAATTAGCGCATTATGTCACTAAGTAAAGTTATCTACGAAAACAAATTGTTATCGTGTCCTTTCTAAAGCTGCTAGCTTGTGGTGACGTCATCAAATCCTGTGTGTGTGTGTCCACACAGGTCGTCACGTGATCAACCCACACTGCAATTTAATTGCATGCAAAATTGACATAGAGAATTCTGAACCCATTCAATTTTCAAGACATCGATGGAATGCATTGTAATTATAACCTGAAGGATTAAAATCGATATTTAGTCAGCATTCCTCGCATGCAGAAAATCTCATCTCGAGAGTTGATAGTTTTGCAGATTATAAACCTCCCATTCCATTAGAGAGCTTTACACACTGGTGTGGATATAGATAAGTATTTACCGGCACGTGCGTTATCACGCTTGTAAACCAATATATACATCAAAACCATCCCCTGTGTGTAACTCATCCTCACTTATTCTTTGACCTGTTATGACCTTGAAACACGTTCGTGACCTGTAAACTTGACCTTTTACACCATCCATCTTTCACACAAGATATGTAAGGCTTTTAAAATAAATACATGTACAAATTGCATCAGCTATTTTTTCTCAATAATTAATGAAAATTGAAATCGGAAATTAACCCATTTTAAACTACATGCTTCTCATCCAAAATTGAACTATACGTTAGTGATATAATAGAATTATATTGTTCTGGACGAATACTTTACCACATACTGAACCTGTATAACAGATTAGCAAGATTAATCCCTCGGAATGGCAATATCATCAATTAGTGCATGACATGCACTACACAATAGATGGCGTTATCCGATGGTTAAAGTCCATACAGTGATGACACGGTTCTATTCTTAATTGTGACGTTCTCAATTCTCATTATAAATGTTTGTGTAAGTTGTCATGAAATGACAAAAGAGACTCTCTCTCCATTAATCAGAAGATTAATCAGGAGATAATTATTCTGTGTGTATTTCCCTATTAAAACGATAATTAACCAAGACAGTGTATGAGAAAATCCGCCTGAACTGAGACAAGTGCTATTGTGACACAGTAGGATAGAGTCAACTATGTTTATTACCTACATGTTTACCTATGTATATATACTGCCATATAGAGCTTCGCTCGGGAGGTTGGGGCCCTTACATTATAAGTTCTTATGAAACAGGTGACATACATTTAATCTACTGAACTTCATGTATAGTTAAGATAACATATAGACAACTAACCAATACAACGAAACCAGATATCCGGATGCCTGCAGTTATAAAAAAAAACCCACATATTCCGGATACTGATACCCAGACACCAATTTTCATATTATACCTTCCCTAGACGTGAACTAGAGACCAAACTATAGTCCACTATCAAACATGATAGACAATATCTGATATTGTCTGACAGAGTGAAGTAAATCACATCTATTCGCACACGGCATACAGGCCATAAGGAGCCTGCCGATACAAATCGAACCGCCGTTACACTCCAACCCAAGTTATTGATTAAATACGGACCTCAGAAGCAGTGAGACCTCTGAGCAGGAAGTTGCACATCTACATCGTGTTTATTTATTTATCTACAATTACTTATTTGTTGTTGAATACAAAACCATGTGGACATTTTAAACTTGTAAGTAACAGTAAATACATTGTATAACGTTACGAGATGTTGGTATCTATATGCATCTATAATCTCTTAAATATACATCGCTTAAAACTTTGCGAGGTTGGACTAAGTGTCTGTTTTACTGGTAGGTGTCCATCGCGTGAGGTCACGTGAAAAAAACAACAACAACAACATTTGCCTTTTTTATCGTGAAATTCGCCTTTATCATGATTACAAATGATATGATGATTTTTTATATATGTAAATATCGATCCTATCCTTCCTTACATGGTCATTTACTCGTTACACACTATAGTGTAGTGTTATTGTAAATGTGACCTAAATGAACTTCAGCTCTCTTTTTCACAAAGTCTTGTCTATTCACCAGTACTGGACCTCGGGTCCTACTGTATGCTAAATCTATGCCTAGTTTACCCCGTCAGCAATTAGAAATACCAGCCTGTATATATTCGGACTTTTGTTACCTCTACATTTGATCGGCATCAAGCAACTTCTGCAGTAACTTATTACAACATTCCTTTGAAAATATGGACAAAATACAACGCAGATATTACATATTTTACCTTGTTCTCTCCAAGAAATGAAGATAATAGTCTCTTCGTCTAAAGTAGGTTGTCTGACAGCCAGATTATTGACAGTCGGGAAGTTCGACTGTTTTCCATGAAATTTAATTCATTAACAATTAATAGGAAAGTGTCTCCTGTCAGAGCATGCGTTTTTATCGCTTTGCCAATTACCAGGAAGATCGTTTCATTCTTTATCAACTATAAAAAGCTAAAAGGCAAGCTGAATTGTCAAATTTAGCGGAGAGCAAATTAGTTTGTTCCTGTTTTGTGTCCGTTATCGCTGCTCCCACTTCTCCACAATTATATAGGATGTCACAGCTACAAATCGATACAGATAGCCGCCACTCCGACACACAGGAAACCATCTCTACCATTGTCATTGTTTAAGGATGCTTGTTCTCTATAACTGATTGATGGAGCTTAACGATATCTAATTTGATTTTGTGAAATGCACTTATTTTCGAAAGTTCAATTCTCGAATGGCCGACACACTAGGCGCTAACCTGTTTAAACAGGAAGTGTCACATGTCGGATTAATGTCATATTCAGTCAGTAAATGTCATATAACAGATAAATACCATATTCAGTCAGTAGAAAGCACATACTGGAGAAAATGTAATATTCAATCATCAAGTGTCACATACCAGATAAGTATCTTTTTCAGTCAGTGTCACATATATGTACCAGATAATTACAATATACAGTCAGTTTGTGTCAAACACTGGATAAATACGACATCCAATTAATAAGCTGATTTATACCATATATATTAAGCACACATTTAGATATATCTACATTTAGATATATATCAGTAACTTTCCAGGAATAGAAACAATATACAGCCAGTAAGTGCTAAACACAATGATAAATATCATAGTCAATATGTACTGCACTTCCAAAATATATACTTTACGAAATATAGTCAGTGTCTCAAACCAGAGTGATAATTAATAACTTTATAGACACTACGGAACTAACAGACAAATCGGGGTTGGGGATGGAAGGATGACTCCGTCAGTAGAACATTAGACTTATATTACCTTGTGTGAAGATCCGAGATGCGTTTTATGTTGTTGTGGTTATGATCTCGGCAAGACGCCATTCATCCAATAAAGGCCTTCCGCATCATGTTCATTGAGGGAGCAATCCAAGTACTGCCTGAACATCAAGTCTCAAAATTAATTAACTTTACAAAATGTGCTGGTCTAAAAGTAAATAAAGGCAAAATACAAGTTGTTTTTGATCGGCAGTAAAAAATATAGTAATGACATATACTTTCCAGAGTGGAATTTACATTGGGTATTACTAAATTTACAGTATTAGGTAATGTGCTTGATGTGGACCTACACCAAACCCCCAGACTTAACTATGAGACATATTGGTAAAACTGAAATCATTAACACTTGGAATAGAAGAAATCTTACACTTCGTGAAAGAAAACACATCATTAAGTCCCTTCTCATATTTTAACTCATCTATCTTTTTATATTTTTTATATCCTTGCCAGATCCAGAAGAATACAGAACTTTTTATATTTTTATGGAATGGTTAGTCAGATAAAATAAAAAGAGATATCATTATAATTTTTTTTATCAAATTCTGAGTCTTTATCAGATGTATTATTGATTCCATTTTTTAAGATAAGGAGACATTTATCTTTTTTATATGACGAAAAACCCCAGTGTGGATAACTCTATATATACAAGGCCAGATGTCTGCAAACTATCTTGTCCGTTTCTGCCCTAAAGGACCAAAATAAAGATATGTATACCACTCAAAATATAAAGCTAAAGACAAAGGTTAAATGATCTCCTGACCTTTAAAGAAATATAAAAAAGAGATTACTAGAAACCATATATTAAACGATAAACGTCATATAACTAGCCTTGCCAAGTCTCTGATGGGTTTTTTCATATTTAATGTATGTATGAAAGTTTTTATTTCCAAATATAATTATTATGAAAAAGGAATTCTTCATTATTCCTTAGGCACCATTTCTTTTCTCTGTCCGTTTCTCTATCTTTTCTTATCTATAACTGTCCTTTTCTTTACTGCTGTACAAATTTAAAAAAAAAAAAAATACAAAAAAAAAAGTCTCAAAATAGATATGCACACTCACGCAGTGATGAAAAAATACAAACAAGCAAATATATACAGACAAGGTGCTGCAGTTTCATTACCGTTGTATAGAATATAACTTATGTTTCAATATTATGTGTGTAGATATCGGCTGGTATTTGTGCCGCTTCATCAAAATAGACTGAACTACACTCATCAATAACCCATAGAATGTTTTCTCGGAAGAATCCTAAATTGCCGTGCACAAGTGTATCTTGGAGCAATTCTTTGTATGAAATATCGATGTAGTTTGAACATTAAAAATTAATCATATCAACATTATTTTTTGTTCATAGAGACTGTCGGCATTAAATGAGAAAAGGTCCCTAACTGCTCTTCAAGGGCGGAAAATAAGTCGATAATATTCCAGAGCTAGAGTGCTCGATATTGAATTCGTATTTCGTATTGAAGAGAGACTAAAATGTACGCCAAATGCTTTCTTTGTATCATATTGGTGACTTACGACTTCTCTTTGTTACAATTTGTGTCGTTTTCCCTTTCTGTAGCGAATAAGCTGCTATATGACATTACCTCTCTAGGACATCAAATCAATGTACCTCATACGATGTGTTTTTATAAGACTCGATTCTTTTTTGTCATTTTTCCTGCCTTGCTGTTGTATCTACCAACACACTTCTAGATTAATTAGCTTCCTATTGAAACATAACTGGAACTTCCGTAAGGTAAAAGACCACTGTTTTAGCTGTAGTTGTGGAGAAACACTAACTGCCATCGTTATAAATGCCTTGAATTTGAGAGATCCATTCGGACTCTTTCTCAACGGCTGTTTGATGTTATATATATATTGACCCTGGTTGACCCCAAGGGGCTGCTGGATGTAGCCAAAAGGGGTCAGATTGTCTCAGATCTCAAATGTCAACTCAAGATCGAGATATGGTAGAATCAAATATTCTTCATGGATAAAAATGTCTAAAGGTGCTTTAACGAAATTTGATGACCTCTGAGTCTCACATTACACATTAGTGGGGAGTGAGCAAGGTTGACCTATAGCCAGCAGATTTCGCTCGTCGTCGTCGCCCGAGTGAATTTCAATCCAATGCAATCTTAATAATCATTTGAGGAAGCCAATCATTAAAGTAAGGTCATTATACACCAGGGGGCTTGGTGGTAGAGACTTAAGCTGATGTTTTATATTTCTCAATGACAGTATTCATAAATACCCAAGTGGGGTTACGGTCCATGGGCCTCTTACAGAATTCAGGTGACCGTTACGTTCCTTGGGCCTCTTGTCGTAGAATTCAGGTGACCGTTACGGTCCTTGGGTATCTTGTTGTATAACTCAGGAGACCGTTACGGTCCTTTGGCCTCTTGTCGTAGAATTCAGGTGACCGTTACGGTCCTTGGGTATCTTGTTGTATAACTCAGGAGACCGTTACGGTCCTTGGGTATCTTGTTGTATAACCCAGGAGACCGTTACGGTCCTCGGGCCTCTTGTCGTAGAATTCAGGTGACCGTTACGGTCTATTTGCCTCTTGTCGTAGAATTCAGGTGACCGTTACGGTCCTTGGGCCTATTGTCGTAGAATTCAGGTGACCGTTACGGTCCTTGGGCCTCTTGTCGTAGAATTCAGGAGACCGTTACGGTCCTTGGGCCTCTTGTCGTAGAATTCAGGAGACCGTTACGGTCCTTACGCCTCTTGGTGTAGAATTCAGGTTGCCGATACGTTCCTTTGGCCTCTTGTCGTAGAATTCAGGAGACCGTTACGGCCCTTGTGCCTCTTGTTGTAGAACTCAGGTGACGGTTACGGTCCATGAGCCTTGTGTAGAATTCAAGTGACCGTTAAGACATATCGGTGTATTGTTGTAGAAATCAGGTGACCATTACCGTCCTTGTTTTGTAGTATAAGACTTAGATGTGTTGTATTCGAAATCTTGTCTTGGTGTATAATGTTACTTTATACAGATAGAATGTCACGAACGAACTTTGTATAGTCTCAGTCATTATCCTGTTATAATGATACAAACTAAACAGAAGACAAATACTACTTGTATAGAGGGGCGACGAAGCAAAAATACTTCTAAATTACCAACGGAACTGGCAACTTCAGATTATGAATATAAACGAGTTCTGAGAGTCAGGTCTTAATGTGATTGAAGACTGGGGACAAATTACACTAGCTAACAAACCAATCACGACTTTATCCCGGATATCAGCGACGTGTTATCTCAACATATTTATTTCTCCATCTATATGTGCTCTGAGTTTGACTGGCATCCTGAGCAAGGTCCAATTACGGGCTCCTACACGGAAACCTCGAAAATTCAAATGTAATTCTGTCGGTGCATAATTCCGCTTCCGATGAAAATGTGCGGATGGGTTTTTCTTCCGTCTGACAGCTGTACATTTCGTATTCAACCTTTTTATGTATGGTATGTCACATGTCTATGTACGCTTTGCTATTGCAACACATTTTGAGTCTAAATCAATATTACTCGTGGTTACGATCAGTTGTGGCGGATGTCGTCTATTAGGCCGAGGACGCTTTCTCTTGCTCATCCTTGTCAGGAGTATCCATATTAATTTTTCTTTTGTTCATATTTTGCCCGACGTTTGTCTAATTTGAGTTTGTTGGTAGTTGGTATTTCCTGTTGTTTTTCTCTATGTAACATGTCCGTACGATATCTTGCGCGGGAGTGAATTGGTACGGCCCTCTCTGTAGAGCATTGCATCCCTAGATGCTTAAACATCCAAAAGCTGCAATATTTTTGTTTCACATGGTAAAGTTCATTCCATATACGTCGTATTTTAATTAAGTTTCAAAGACATAACCAGAAGAAAACAGGTCCAAATTATCTTTAAATTCTCGAAGACGTTTGAAAAGTATGTCTTTGTTTTAAATATTCTTATTTCGTTCCCGGGCACCAAAGACAATGTGACAGTGATATATTTATTTTGGTATTTTGTTGTTGTTCTTATAGGCACGGTCGGTAACGGCACAGAGAAGCTGTTGTTCCGAGATCTGTTCCGTACTTACGATACAACTCCGAGGCCCATCAACAACATCAGCCTTCCAGTAGTCATAAAATTTGGCGTGGCCCTAAATCAAATCCTCGACTTGGTGAGTGGAAATCCAAAACAGCGAGTTCTACTGCGTGGGGTACACGTCAGTCGGCTATCTACATTGATTGGAATACAGTAGGTCAGCTGGCACAGAACGAAACTTAAATTGATATCATACATATCTAAAGAAGATATAATTGTTGCTTAATAAGATTTCAGAGTACAAACTTTAGCAGAAGTACAACATTTAATTCATTATTATTGTGAAATGTTAACACGAAGAGATTTTGAAAACCAGTTAAGACTTTTAATGTCAATATATATCGCACACATCTGAATAAGTTCCGCGATTTGAGAACCTTATTATGATGTTATCATGGATGAACTGAATAACAGCTTTGACGGCATTTTCATCTCACTTGATGAGAACGTTCATCATGCTCTATAACGTGATGAGATTTAGAAAATGTTTCCTTTCACCACCGGAATTAGATTGCATGCTCTGCGTCATAACTATTCGCTTATATCACGTTCTTTTATGAAGTTCATATTTCGGGGTGCCTTTAAGGAGGATCGTCCTTGTATTTGGTGAATGGTTTGACGTCGCATACACCTCCTAAGTATGTTATGACATCGCAATGCAGCCAACGTGTTTGACATGGAAGAAAATGTCGAAATTTGCCAAAGGAATAGGAGGAGGAACGTTATTTTTTTTCTTGTTTTAAAGTTTCACTTTTTTATAAAAAAAAAACCCTACAAAGTAATAAATAGAATTCTACTCCATTTTTCATTTTTCTGCAATCAAGAAGCAGTTTTTTTCTTAGTTCTATAAAATCCGAAAGATGTGTTAAAAGTGTTTTATTGTAAAATCGTATATTAACGTAAGAAAGATATATGTGTTCTCAGGAAATGTTTGAATATCTGGTGTTGTTTCAGGACGAGAAGAAACAGGTGATGACGACATCAATGTGGATACAAGAGGTCAGTAGGTCATGTTTATATAGCATGAATACCATGGAAACGGTAACATACCATGGAAACTAACATGGAGACATTTTACAACCTGTATCACTAGTCTATGTTGTCATGATTGTACGATAAATTTGCTGTAACTCAGACAAAAACATTTGATACATGTCATGAAATAGGCGGCGCGATCAGTATGTGACCATTTTGAAATATTTTGATTGGTTCGATTAGACAGGGAAGTAACCATGGATTATTGATAGATTTCTCTCTTTTTTGTACCTGTATCGGTGGGGTAGCTACACATGAATAACTGCTTGTTAACACAACGGTCGCTTAGTGATATATGTATAGACTGTAGTTACCCAGTATTGATAATACAATTCGTGACCAACAAAACAAAAAATGTAAATTCTTATATTTACATAAAACACGAGGATTTTCATAAACATTATCACTATAACATCAGGCTCTATTAAAAAGGGTCACTTCATTCAAGTATATATTGGGGAACAGACTATAGGTGGCGACACTAGAGATTTATTGTACAACGCAAACAGCAACAAAATAGTTCCAAGAAAAAATGTGTTTTTTATTTTGATGTACTTTTTTTGAAAATGGAAATTGATAAGACCGAGTAATATTTTGTTAGCCTGTAATCGTCATATGTCGATATCATTAAATATAAACATGGGATTCGGTTAGCTTCAGTGTCTCATAGAACTGTAATATATGTTTTTGATGGACACAAAAAACATGATTAATGAATTATAACGTTTATTTTCGTTTTACCTTTGATCTCTAACGACATCACAGAGCTGGGTAGATGAAAACTTACAGTGGGACCCAAGTGACTACGAAGGACTGGACACGTTGATGGTAGCGTCTACTTATGTGTGGGTCCCTGATATATTCATCTTCAACACGTGAGTATCCATTTGACACTCTCCCAGGAAAACAGTATCTTTTGATCGGTCGAATACTTATAATTTTGTGAAGGTTTTCATTCTCGAAGGCTTCTGTTTTTCACAATGTTCAAGAATGGAATACAACTGAAAAAAAGATATCCTGAAAGATATGATTGATACAAAAACTAAAAGCCGATTTCCTAACTTACGTGAATAATGCATGTCATTGTTACCTGTTAAGACCTCTAAATTTTGAAAAATTGAGATCAGAACATTTGCAGTGAAGCAAATTTTCGTCACTCACCAGATACCTTAACCTTCGCCTTCTGACACGTACGTTCATGATAGTGATACACATTGTAATTTAGGCCGTGACAATGGAATCTCTTTCCTGTTTATCTTTGATTTCTTGCTCACTCTACCCGCAACATATCTAACTATTCATGATGTTCCTCAATTTCTTGCCTCTGTGTCACTTCACCGCCTCTCGTTGTTCCTGTTCGTTTTCCTCTCGTCAGTCGTAGTGGCGGTTTCAAGTTGTTGCTGTGTTTTTGTGAAGCCAATGTACAACGTATTCTTACTTAGATAGAATAACATGCCATTGCTAGATACAACTTATCTTATAAATAAAGATTTCTTGCTCTCGTGATTTTCTTTTTTTTTTTTTTATTGTTGGGTTTTTCAGAACTTTTTTTTCTAATTCAAGGTCTTTGCGCTTCTCGTCCTCGTCACTCGTCATCTGTTCAATATTTACCAAAAAATAATTCAATTTTTCGAATCGGTTTCCAACGTTACATATCAATTGCTAGATTAAAGTATGATAAAAGCAAACTTGGAATCTGTATGACTGAAATGTACTCGAAAAAATTGTCTTGTTGTTTCAGAGCGGGAGGGGAATTAGACGGTTTCGTGAACGTAACAGGAAGTAAGTTAATGATCAAGAGTGATGGTGGGATCAAATGGACAGTGCCCTTGATGATTAAGAGCGCATGCTCAATGGATGTAAAGTTCTTTCCATACGACAGTCAGCGATGCCGGATAAACTTTGGATCATGGATATATGACGGATCTAAAATTGACTTGCAGCCGTACCCTACCAAACCTGATCTTGGTGATTACATGCTCAACAGCGAGTTTGACCTTCTGGGGGTAACCTTGGACAGAACAGTAGCCAATGAGACATGCTGTCCCGGGCCAGGTAGTCATCCCATGATCAACTTTGGCCTGAGAATCAAACGCAAGTCCATTTATTATGACTACATCGTGATAGCACCGACCATCATGTTGTGTGTTCTCACACTTGCTACGTTTCTCCTGCCTTGCCACCACGGCGAGAAGATTTCTATTGGTCTGACAGTGTTTCTGACACTATATGTGTTACAACTATTGATTGCTGAAAATGTACCAGATACCAATACGACACCAATCTTAGGTAAGAGTGACACTAAATCCATTTTCTATTTAATTCATACGATTTTTATTCATTAATGATTCAGCATTTCCTGACATTTGTTTCCTGTTAAATTCATAGAAATTTAATTTCCATTCATTTGCACACATTTCCCTTACCAATATTTTTGCAATATTTTCATTCTTAAGCTTGATGTTGTTTTCCACGATAAATTTGTTATGAATTCTTTATATTGTTTTTACAAGATGTTTTCAGATACTTTTTTCTAAAACTTTTTTAAAAAGGATTTCGGTTATGCTTTACTTTATAAAGTTAAATAAGGTTTAACACGCACCTGTATCTACAACATTATCATTTTATAGGTATCTTCATATTCCTGGTGATGACCATGAACTGTATATCAATGATAATGGCTACTGTTGTACTCATCATAAAAAAACATGGCGGTCTCAAGCCAGTTCCAATGGTGCCTTCATGGGTTCTTTGGTTCTGCGAGACTTGTCTCAGTAAACTGGTATGTACTCAGCTTCGTTCCTGGGACTTTCAGTTCGATCTGTGTGCCGAGGAGCGTGACTATGTACCACCTGCACCACTTGACCGACCCTGTCTTGTTATGACAGATCCCTTGGGGATCCAAAACCACCGGATAAAAGACTACGGTCCGGACACGGCCGACACCTTGACCGGCATGTATGACGGATTTGATGTTGGAGACTATGTGCAGATGAACGTATGTTATAACGACAGTGAAATCGTTACAAATGGTGACACAAAAACTCAGGGAAATGGATGCGTACCTCAATGTTCATCAAATCATTTAGGATCCAATAGGCGGGAGACCGAGATTGAAGCAGATGATGGTCAGTGTTCTTCCTCATGTGACATGACGTCATATAGACGGATGTTGCGAAACAGGCGTTCTTACAGAAGAGCATTACATACTGACGACACGGAGGAAGAAACAGTGAGTTTACACAACGAATCCACTTTCAACGAAGATTATATGGAGCAAGTGTTCCGAATAAACAGATCTCGGGCTGTAATGGAGCGAAAACGCCAGTGGTATTTTGTGGCAGAAGTCGTCGACAAAGCATTGTTTTTAGTATACCTGGTCAGCATGTTTGTTACCATAACGACGGTATTAGTCATAGTTCCGTCTACAGCTCCATCAACGTAAAGCAACACCAGTTGGGCAATCGAATTTCATTATTTAAGAACCATGATATTGAAGTATATTTCTTTATGATCGTCAGTTAGCAGCTATTAAAACACTCCGCCTTTCGGCGATATCGTGTCATTAATTTAACAATAATAATATCAAAATCTCCCGTGTGGCCTTCCGTTTCCAACAGAAGATTTTGAAAAAAAAAAAAAAAAAACAATAATAATCGCCAGGCGTCGACAAAATGATTGCGACCTTCTCTCATTGGATGGCACCAGCTACTGTTTTCACATCTGACGATTTTTTGTAGATTTTTTTATTCTCTGTCAGAATGATGGTACATAGTCCAACATTTCTTCCAATTTTAAGATTGCATTTTTTTAAAAATACTGCCACCTTTTCTACCTTTGCTTTGTTGCCTTTGTTTATTGAAAAAGACAAATATAAATATTTGTAAAAATGGTCTTTTTCTGACACCAATAATTGTCTTTTCATGCAGCTGTCATATCTCATTTGGATTATTCAAATGTCAGAAATAAGCACTTGCATTCTCCATGGTCAAATCTGTACTTACAGTATTTTCATTAAGCTTTGACGTTATGTCTATTGTGCTAATGCTTACGCCAGAATGATTTGACGTCATAGCTGCCGTCTTATCTTTTATGCTGCGATAGGTGATGTAAAATTTACATTCGATGTTGACAACGTTAATACGATATTAGAATGTATTTATCATGATTTCCATTATAAATCTTTACTCATGATACAACATATTTTATTCTGGATCAATGCACTTGAACGGTACCTTTTTTCCTTTATATCCAAGATCCTGAAGTTGCATATTTGTTGTAAGCTCTAAATTGCTTTAATGACAAAGAAAATGAAACTTAACAACAAAATAGGATCATCCGAAAAATTGAAACATCACCATCTTGGATATTCTCCACTTCGAAGAAACTTTATCAAGTTAAAAGCCATCTTCGAAGCTTCGCTTCAAAGTTTTGTTTTCAATATCAAGAAAAAGATTAACTTCACAACTAAAGTTCAGTGCCAAGGGTAAGCGGTAAGCCCTACTCCAAAGTTTAGATTCCAATGTCCAGAGGAAGCGTTACTTCGAAGCTTAAGTTCAAATGCCAAGGAACAGTCTTGCTCCGATGATGAAGTTCCAATGCTTAAGCTTGAGTTTCGATGTTCAGGGGAATTGATAAGTCTCAATGAAATCACACTTAACGCGTCTCTTCGACAACAAACATGCGTATCTTTGAATGTGGATTACGTTGCAGACGGATACCGAGCAGGAATTGTTGGTATTATGTGTGCGATTTGCTCAAAAGTGTTAATGGCAACACTGAATATTTCACATAAAGATAAATAATTTGTTCATGTCTCACTGCTAATGATTGCAAACAACAGACAAAAAACAAGGATGTGATATAGAATTAACTACTTCTACCATGACTTAAATGTTTACGAGAATGTCGGTCAACAACGATATCATATTTAAAACCATGTTGTATTTATCATGTTTGGAAATGTTATAATCAGAAGCTTAGATGACAAATTTTACGGAGCCCAACTACTAACATGCTTCACACGTATTTATAAGCTAACCGATAACAAGCATTTACGTATTAGTGAATTCAAAATACATCTCTATCTCAAAATGTAAATATACACATCTGTAAGCGTCTTCATTTCATATTGAGGTCCTGTTACATATGATACAGAAGTCGTGGTGAATAAAGAGTGTGTGCTGAGAAATGGTAATTGGTAAATATATTGGTATTCACCAGTTTCACAGCTAAGCATACTAGACTCAGGGAGAAATATGAAATGAAAAAAAAACCTAAACAAACAAACAAAAGAAAAAAAATGACTGATCTTGGAACCTCCAGTCATAATCATGGTCCTTGTTGGAATCTATATAGCAACGGTACCGTAAATTTATCGACTGTTTGCTCCACAGTACGTAAGGAGCCACCAGTAAATAATAATCATAAAACATACACTAGGAATGTAGCCGATAAGTTTTTGGAGTAAATTCCGAGTCGTTTTGGAACTTTGCAACACTGAATCTTTCAATTGCACATTGTTCATAAAATGTCGGCCTTGACAAACAGACAAAATATGTAAATTAATAGCAAGTAAACCTTGTACAATGTCCACTATGATAGGATAATTTGTTCAATATGTACTCGGACCTGTTTTTGTATTCACCAAGAATAATAGACCACGGAAAAACTCAATAAAAAGCAAAGTAGAAAAATAAAGACGAATAAATAAATAGAACAGATATATAAAAAAATATGGATGAAAAACGTCCCTGCTGAGCTTCGAACAACCAGCCTTAATCAAGATCGGTGACGAGTTTCCTTGTTTATTTGCTGCACCATGACTTGATCGACTGTTCCACAGTACACTGACCAGCTTACCTATCAATAATTCGGTAGTAGCTGGCTACTTTAGGTCGAAGTAGCGTTTATGGAGTAGATACTTCCGAGTTGTTTAGAAGCTCTGTAATATTGACTTTTTCAAACATGCATATTCTCTAGTGTTGATAATATGTGGGCCTTGAGGAACAGGTGATAGAGATTGGAATGTTATTCTTTATATTTCGGCAAGTAAAACTTCTCTAATGTCCGCGTGTGGTCAGATAATCTACCAAGACATGACGTTGATCAGAAGCTGTTTTGTCGCAAAGGTCATTAATTTTAAAAAAATATGATTTATATATTAACATTTACTTAATCATTATTCAATGTTCTCTTTTATTGCTTTTTCAAAAAAAATTTTTTTTTCGTTTTTATAAAAAAATCATTTTCTTTTATTGAAACGTTGATTCTTTGTTCTAGTTGTAAACTCGTACTGAGATCACATTTCGATAAAAAAGCGAAATGACTTTTGTATTAACACGAAGTACTTTCAGTTATAACTATTCGACAAAACAAAATAACAAAAAGAAATAATTATTGTGCGAAATGAACATACACAATAATATTTCGATAAAAACGAAATAACGTTTTTAATCAAACAAATAACCATTCTGGAAATAAACTATAGAAAAGATAAATGTAAAGCATGCAAGTAAACGGGCTCCGTACAATTCGGAATGATAGTGTTATTTTTAGTGCAGGTTTACTCGCAATTGACAGTTTGTTGATGATATAATATTGTTTATATTTACATTATTGGAATATGCCGTTGTTTGTTTAGATTATCAATGACAATGAATTAAATGCTTTCAGTATAAGTCAAAAGATTGATTTTCAAAACTTTAATATTACAACAGAAAACATTTTCAGCATTTTTTCTCTTGAAGGCGTTACTGATTAAAATCAATCCGACCACATGTAAATCTATATGAACGATGCCAGTTTTATGGTTCAAAGCGGAATCTCTCTGACGAAGACCTATTTCATATTAACCAATCTGCATTTCTGCTGCACATATAATTTTCAAAACAGCACTAAGTGCATTTCGAATCCTAATTACGACCTAATTTCATCTTTATATTGAAAAATGATTTATCTTAAAAGTATCTGGGCTTTTCAGTTTTATATGGCTGTCACTCTTTTTGTTCAGGATTCGACAGTACATATTGTAATTTTTAGTGAGATATCATCATGAATGTTCCTCTTATTGTTTCTTAAACGAGTATCAATTATGAGTTTAATAATGTGACTTTGAGTAACAGAAACGCATTATCAACTTGGAACAGAAACAAAGTCATTTAGATGTCAATCACTCAGAACAACAGCAGCAACAACAAAACCTGTCCACGTCTGCACTAATTAATTATCTTTCTCGTTTTTTGGGAGGGGGTCGATGAAATATTCGGTATTCTTGCTATTTGACACAGAAATTACATCTATAGACGTTCAGTACCGTCAAACCACCTACAGGTTTCTCAATAGCTAACATAATATTAAAATATTTGATCATTACATACATAAGTAAAGAAAGCAATTTTGAATTTCAGAAAAGAAACCATGTACTATGAGGACAAAGTTATACTTCCCAATATGTTTTTAGTCCAAAGGCTTACATATTGCAAGACATGGAAAATACAGATAGGTTTCCCGGGATTCCAACCGTTTTCAAACTGCCGCATGGTTCATTAAAACATATCTGAATTTGAATGAAAACATAACACTACCGGGGTTTATTTCCCGAAGAAACACCAATTAAGAACTTTGGTTCAGTAAAAGTAATTGGATTATTGACCCATCAGATTTTACTGACAAAACAATGTTTATTTCTCTCTTAATTAATAATGCAAACCACATGATGAAATTACGGCACATAGATCCTGTTGATACTGACTGTTCCTGTGCCTCGGGCGATGACATACAGGTAGGGGTCGGCGCCAAGGACGTTCTGAGGAATGATCCTTTCAAACAAATAAAACGATGAGAACAGGTATAAGAAAACGTCACTGACAGACTAGTCTATCAAAATGTATTATTTCAATGATACACAATTACAGGTATACATATTATAATAATATACAGCAAGATTCTAAGAGTATACTATTTAAAAAGGCTGAATTATGTATTGTTTCTATATATGTTTATTCGTATATTCATGTTTCTTACTGGTTAACGAAATGTTTGTATAAATGTCAGGAAAGGGCTATTATAGGCAGTGCCTGTGCCCAATCCATTTGTTAACGCTAACAATAAAATAATTTTGAAATGAAAAACAGGTATACCAACACATCATTAAAAGAAAAAGAAAACACCACCTCAAACCCCCGAAAAAAGCCTCTCGATATGATGTCAAGTCAGTTAACCTTTCTGTGGTCTAGGTCAAGTTGTATTGGAAAGCTAGAAATTCCTCACTTCAACATGACAAATAAGTTTTCTGATCAACGTAATGAAGTGAATAATATTTAAAAACATGCCTGTCATTTTTTTATGAAAATTTCCATGGTCTAGTTAATTGGTTATCCCCTTCTGAACCAACACAATATAGGAAAAAGTTAACAGACTAAGGAAATCAGCAGGTGAATCTATGCCCTTTCTGACTAACCCAGTTTTAGGTCATACAGTTACAGAAGATGGCGACAAAACCATTATTTTGAACACTTAATTTTCTTCTATAATAGGAGCTGATGACAGTAATACCGATATTTCTCTGTCAGAACATAGAACAGACAAAACTATCAACTCTTTAATGGTAATAGCTTCTGAAATTGAAGATATTCTACAAATTCTTATATCAGGGAAGGCGTCTTGTCACCATAAGCTTAGATATACTGTGTGATCCCTCTTCAATTACTATTAAACTTTTCACTTTCTTCTAAATTCCTGATATGTTGAAAATTACTACAGCGATGCCATTGTTTAAAAATTGAAAGTAGATATGCATTTTCTAACAAATTATAGACCAATTATTACTATCTAATCTAGACAAAGTATTTTAGAAAGTAATATTAAACACATACATAACTAAAAATCTTTTTTACAAATATCAGTCAGGATTTATACCAGGTCTTTCCACTGTTTATAAGCTCATTGAAATTTATCATAATATTTGATAAGCTCTTGGTTAGAGTGCTGTGATAGATCTAAAGCTTTTGGTCGTTTCTATCATTAAGGCGTTGTTAATTAATTCAACGTCTTATGGTATAACAGGAGACTTGTTGCCTTCGTTAGAAAATTATCTTACAAATACAACACAAAAAATATTTATTTCAAATTAATTTTCTGACGACTGTTTTATTAAAGCTGGAGTTCCACAGGGTTCTATTCTGGGCCCTTATCATTCCTCATTTATCAACGATATTGCTGATGTTTTACACTCGGGTTTCCCTCTTTCTGCGGATGATACGTCATTAACGGATACATCTTCTTGTGGTTGATTACAAACCACACTAAATCAGGACTTAGAATCTTCAAGTAGCAGGGCAAAAATGACTTGTAATCCAGTTTTAATTTTAACCCAAGCAACTGGAAGTTCCCTCTATAACAAATTCAGTAAACATGAATGATTATCTGAAATTGAAATTTGATAATGTGTTTTTAAATTTAGTGATTGTCAAAGGCACTTGGGTGTCCTATTCAGTGTTAAATGCAAATGGGCTGACCATACTGAAAGTATGTATCAATCAGTTGTAAAAAAGATCAATACGTTAAGCTCAAAATACATATTTAAATGTGATGCATGGTTAAAATATATAGGGGTTTTGTTTTATATGCAAATGAATTAATGCGGAATACTCCATTTTATTAGAAAAAGCCGGGCGTCAGGCTGCGCTTATCATTACAGTTTTACATACTTATGCTAGCAACATTTCTCTGTACGTTCAAACAGGTCTCCAAACAGTCGGTTAGAAAGGAAAGAAAGAAATTACAATTATTGAACAAGATGAATTCCAGCGGTCGCTCAAACTCTTCCATATCCGATAAGAAGCAGATAGGATTTTGTAATTCGAAACTACAGGCTGTCTAGTCCTGATTAATAAATTCTCCCTTCTACCATTCGTCCGTGGAGTACACTTATTATTACATCAACATTTTCGATGTTTTTACAAACTTTCAAATCTATAACTCAAAACTAAAAAATAAAATAAAATAAAAAAAAAACAAACAAACAAAAACCCCAGTTTACTTCGGATTTGGTGACAGGAAGTTTAATATAATCCGCACAAACTGACGTCATCAATGTAGGTCTTTGAAATATGATTTATTCTGGTGTGGATTTGACAGATGACTGTGAATGCTCATTTGGAAACCCTTGTAAAAATACCTTTCATTTTTTCTCTGCTTGTTTCAATTATGAACATCAGAGACGTTTGCTTTTCATTAATCTTGAAAATGTAACATTGTTTTTGAATTCAGACTTCTTTCTGGAAATAAAAACCTGTCTGTAGAATTGTCTACAGAAATTTTATCTAGAAATAAGCACACTAGTAAATTACAGTCTAATTAATTTATTGTTTTATTTCGGAGATTAATGTGCCTTTCCAGTATGTGTAATCTGATAGATTCATGACCTCTTTGTTTTGTTTGCCGAATGATGTTCATGTAAATTTTTTTTCAAGAAAAGGGTTTGAATACTTTAATACTTTGGCCCCAATGCCATTGCTGATTATTATGGCAATAAAATATGTTTGGATTAAAATTCTGTCGGTATTTTGTTCATTGTCTATGTATGTCAATCTAAATAAATCATTCTAACTGTTACACGACATTCAATTATTCAAAGTGTATACCCAACATACTTGCATATTGTGCCAGGATAACATTGTTTAAATACGTCTACACCCTCGATTCCCTTAACCATGAATATGACCTTAAAACCAATGGCATGACCCCATAAAGACAAATGAAACTCCCCTCCCCCTTTGAATCTAACTGAGGTTGCGAATCATAGAGTTACGAAACTTCCTGAAATATACAAGAACAACACGTAAAAATTCGCCATGTAAATTGGTGTCTTTAACACCTACCCCATATCAGAAATGAGCCCGTCCCCGGCAGCAGACGAACCCTGAAGTTGTTCTCGCACGCCGGTTACGTCGCCCAGTCGGTAAACACTATTCAAGACAAGCGTGGAGATAGGCATGGTATAAAGGTATATGATACCATTCCGTGTTGCTGCCGTTATCATCGGGACTGAGCCATATGTGCCTGCCGCCAAAACGTTGGGTTCAGGACCCTGGAATTAGAATAAATACACAAAATGTTTGGACATAGAAAAATGAGTAATGCTGTGACTAATTTAGTAAAATTACAAAGCCCTATTTAAGCCGCAATTAGTTGATGTATTAGGAAATTGTTTCAGAGTATGCATGTTGTTCCAAAGTGCAAATACTTTTGTTTTAATAGTCACACATTTATGATACTACACTCAAGATTGTATGAACTTAGATCACATACTTTCATCAGTTCAGATGTACTCCTCTAAGAGGTAGAAAAATTCCAGTATTAAACTTTCTGGTGATGAATTTTTGAAAATTTTATTCTAAAAAGCAGATTAAAAGCAAAAAAATCAATTTGTGAGCGCACTAGTTTTTTTCTGGTACAGGCGTCAGAATATGTGTAACAGGAAATAATTCGTTTCCATATCATTCTTATTTTTTGAATAAGACATTCTCTGTTATTTTCGCATCAACTTTTTAAAAAATCGTCTTTCTTTACAAAGTAAGGACATGATACATGGATATTAAGATAAGTTTTCATTTGAATTTATGAGCTTTAAACGCCATAAGCAACCAAATACTGAAAGTGTTCCAAAATGACATAAATCTTTTATTTGACCATCACCTAGTATTAAAAACATCTTTTAAAATACTTTAAGTGACTTTAAGTATTAAGTAGCGAAATTTTCATGACTAAAAAAGAAGGTGCCTCTGTGTTTTATTTTTGCAATTTTCACAGAAACAGCAAGTTTTCTAGGATAAAAAAACCAGCTAATATATTTATTTTTGAGTCCTGAAAGTCATGACAAAGTCGGAATTCACGAATTTGAAATCTGTAAATTTGTGGTGATGAACCACACAAAATGTAGTTGAATTTACCGAAGATTTCTAGAGTTTCCATTACACATCAGCAAGAAAATCAATGGATCACAATTACAGTCAATGGATCACAATTACAGTCAATGGATCATAATTACAGTTAATGGATCACAATTACAGTCAATGGACACAATTAATGGATCACAGTTACAGGCAATAGATCACAATTAATGGATCACAATTACAGTCAATGGATCACAATTACAGTCAATGGATCACAATTACAGTCAATGGATCACAATAAATGGATCACAATTACAGTCAATGGATCACAATTACAGTCAATGGATCACAATTACAATCAATGGATCACAATTACAATCAATGGATCACAATTACAGTCAATGGATCACAATTACAATTAATGGATCACAATTACAGTCAATGGATCACAATTACAGTCAATGGATCATAATTACAGTTAATGGATCACAATTACAGTCAATGGACACAATTAATGGATCACAATTACAGGCAATCACAATTAATGGATCACAATGACAGTCAATGGATCACAATTACAGTAAATGGATCACAATTACAGTCAATGGATCACAATTACAGTCAATGGATCACAATTACAGTCAATGGATCACAATTACAATCAATGTATCACAATTACAGTCAATGGATCACAATTACAATCAATGGATCACAATTACAGTCAATGGATCACAATTACTATCAATGGATCACAATTACAGTCAATGGATCACAATTACAGTAAATGGATCACAATTAATGGATCACAATTACAGTCAATGGATCACAATCAATGGGTCAAAATTAATGGATCACAATTACAGTCAATGGATCACAATTACAGTCAATGGATCACAATTATAGTCGATTGATCACAATTAATGGATCACAATTACAGTCAATGGATCACAATCAATGGGTCAAAATTAATGGATCACAATAACAGTCAATGGATCAAAACAACAGTTAATGGATCACAATTAATAGATCATAATTACAGTCAATGGATCACAATTACAATTAATGGATCACAATTACAGTCAATGGATCACAATTACAGTCAATGGATCACAATTAATGGATCACAATTACAGTCAATGAATCATAATTACAGTCAATGGATCACAATTACAATTAATGGATCACAATTACAATCAATGGATCACAATTAATGGATCACAATTACAGTCAATGGATCACAATTACAATCAATGGATCACAATTACAGTCAATGGATCACAATTAATGGATCACAATTACAGTCAATGGATCTCAATAAATGGATCACAATTACAGTCAATGGATCACAATTAATTGATCACAATTACAGTCAATGGATCACAATTGCAGTCAATGGATCACAATTACAGTCAATGGATCACAATTAATGGATCACAATTACAGTCAATGGATCACAGTTACAGTCAATGGATCACAATTACAGTCAATGGATCACAATCAAACTATATCAGTTGATATTTCAAAAACTTTTAAATCAAAGAGTCAGTCAGCAAATCCAATCAGCCTTTACTCTCTTTCGGCAACCCATCCACCCCGCTGCTATTATTGTGTGTATTTGTTTTGTAAATAATCTGTAACAGCTTCCTTGGCACAATTGAATTTGAGTGTTTATTTTGACAATATAGATTGATATTCAGGCTACAAAATTAGAATTTCCATTTAGTTGACCTTTGTCCATATCTAAAACGTACACAAGTTTGTGATCTTACCAGATCGTCGGAGCGCGAGTCAGCCTCTGCAGAAGCTGACAGAGTTTCATTTGAACAATCACCGTTGAACACCGCAGGGAAGCTTTCTGCCGCCTTTTCCTCAAGTTCATCGCGTGTAGTATAACTAAATGATCCAGGATTAGTGGGGTCCCATACTCCAATGTCACGCCCTCCGAACAGATGAACATCCGTAATGAGCTCCGTAAATGAATCTCTCCCATCAACGATACTGATATGAGCTCGCCCTTTGATACCAAGACATAAACAATGATAGGTAAAACATAATCATTTACCTTGTAGTCATGCTACAGTGTAACCTTGCCAACGTTTTTTCTTTCTAACTTATAACTCGTCAACGGCTTAGGAATTTGCCTCATCCAGTTGGTGAGAAAGACTTCTGTTTTCCCATTTTCATGAAGGAGAAAACGTTGGTAGCACGATAGTTCGTTTAAGATATATATATATATATGTTTGTTTCGTTTTATTTGTTTGTTTGTTTTGAAAAATCACTTCTGATATCTACATTTCGACAGTTATCTTTTATATTTATGCTTGTTTAAATAAAAAATCAAAACAAGAATCGCAAGTCATTGAACGTTATACGCACTTAAGGAAACGACCGATGGAATATCAAAATAGCCGATAGATTAAAATACCTTGTGTTTACATTTTCTGAAACGTATATCCATATATGTTGCTTATATAAAAATACCCATTGATGAAGATATTTTCGAGATTACTGTATGGCCACTTCCATATCACACCCCTTTTCAGCCCAAGACATCAGTGCTAAGTGATGGTAATATGACTACAACATTGACACATTTCCATCCCGAAAACGCGAATGGTATTATCAAATCTGATCGGTGACAAACAAAGTAATCTACATATGATTCGATAACATGTTCAAGGAAGTCGCCTATTTTTTGCAGATTTTAAGCTTTCACTCTAAGCGCAAGCTCAACAATTGGTCATCCATGACTGTGACTGTATGGCGTTACTGTAAGGAACGACAACTCTGGTATAGATTGAATTCGTTTAAAGTTAAAGTTTATGTCACGTACATTAATGGATAACGCATACTATTGACGTAAAAGCCTCTGTCTCACAGGTAAAACCCAATATCTAGGGTGGTTACATGTACAAAGCATACATTTTGTATCATAGGCTGTGTCATATATTAATTAAAAACACACAAGAAAAATAAATGATATAATACAAACAGCTAGGAACAGAATAAAGAAAATGGATGTCAAAAGAATACTTATATTTATCGTCACTTACAATATTTTACGTTAGTAAATTATTTTCAAATTTAGTAAAAACATTCATTGTATCTTTTAGATATTTTGTAAACGTCATGTACTTTAATTCTATAAACGATGATTAAACGTTTTCCCGTTATAAATGATACTAGTTTGTGCGGCCGTCGAAACCTCATCAAATACATCCGATTTTGAAAAGCAAATATTTAATGAAATCTTACCGAGGTAGGAATTTTCGGTAAAGTAAGTAATAAGGGTCTGCGGTAAAATAGACTGGTCCAAAATTCCATCTGGAAGATAACATAGACAGACAAATATTTCAGTTTGAAATAAAACATACCTTGATTAACATTGTTGCAAGAGAATAAAAAAAATCAAATGAAATGATATTTGTACGAAACATCGCTAACCGAAAATAATAGAAACAAAACAAACAAGCATCCATATAACACAGAGATATATCTGTCCATATAACACAGAGATATATCTGTCCATATAACACAGGGATAAATCTGTCCATATAACACAGGGATCAATCTGTCCATATAACACAGGGATAAATCTGTCCATATAACACAGATATATATCTGTCCATATAACACAGGGATGAATCTGTCCATATAACACAGGGATAAATCTGTCCATATAACACAGGGATAAATCTGTCCATATAACACAGGGATAAATCTGTCAATGTAACTCAGGGATAAATCTGTCCATATAACACAGGGATAAATCTGTCCATATAACACAGGGATAAATCTGTCCATGTAACACAGGGATAAATCTGTCCATGTAACACAGGGATAAATCTGTCCATGTAACACAGGGATAAATCTGTCCATATAACACAGGGATAAATCTGTCCATATAACACAGGGATAAATCTGTCCATAGAACACAGGGATAAATCTGTCCATAGAACACAGGGATAAATCTGTCCATGTAACACAGGGATAAATCTGTCCATATAACACAGGGATATATCTGTCCATATAACACAGGGATAAATCTGTCCATATAACACAGGGATAAATCTGTCCATATAACACAGGGATAAATCTGTCCATATAACACAGGGATAAATCTGTCCATAGAACACAGGAATGAATCTATCCATATAACATAGGGATAAATCTGTCCATAGAACACAGGGATATATCTGTCCATATAACACAGGGATAAATCTGTCCATATAACACAGGGATAAATCTGTCCATAGAACACAGGAATGAATCTGTCCATATAACACAGGGATATATCTGTCCATGTCATACGGTATTAATTCTGTCCATATAACACAGGGATGAATCTGTCCATATAACACAGGGATGAATCTGTCCATATAACACAGGGATATATCTGTCCATGTCATACGGTATTAATTCTGTCCATATAACACAGGGATAAATCTGTCCATATAACACAGGGATAAATCTGTCCATATAACACAGGGATAAATCTGTCCATATAACACAGGGATAAATCTGTCCATATAACACAGATAACACAGGGATGAATCTGTCCATATAACAGAGGGATGAATCTGTCCATGTAACACAGGGATAAATCTGTCCATATAACACAGGGATAATCTGTCCATATAACATAGGGATAAATCTGTCCATATAACACAGGGATAAATCTGTCCATAGAACATAGGAATGAATCTATCCATATAACACAGGGATAAATCTGTCCATAGAACACAGGGATAAATCTGTCCATATAACACAGGGATAAATGTAACACAGGGATAAATCTGTCCATAGAACACAGGAATGAATCTATCCATATAACATAGGGATAAATCTGTCCATATAACACAGGGATAAATCTGTCCATAGAACACAGGGATAAATCTGTCCATGTAACACAGGGATAAATCTGTCCATATAACACAGGAATGAATCTATCCATATAACATAGGGATAAATCTGTCCATATAACACAGGGATAAATCTGTCCATGTCATACGGTATTAATTCTGTCCATATAACACAGGGATCAGTCTGTCCATATAACACAGGAATGAATCTATCCATATAACATAGGGATAAATCTGTCCTAACACGGGGATCAATCTGTCCAAATAACACGGGATTAATCAGTCCATGTAACATAGGGATAAATCTGTCCATATAACACAGGGATAATTCTGTCCATATAACACAGGTAACACAGGGATGAATCTGTCCATATAACACAGGGATAAATCTGTCCATGTCATACGGTATTAATTCTGTCCATATAACACAGGGATCAGTCTGTCCATATAACACAGGAATGAATCTATCCATATAACATAGGGATAAATCTGTCCATGTCATACGGTATTAATTCTGTCCATGTAACACAGGGATAAATCTGTCCATATAACACAGGAATGAATCTATCCATATAACATAGGGATAAATCTGTCCATGTCATACGGTATTAATTCTGTCCATATAACACAGGGATAAATCTGTCCATGTCATACGGTATTAATTCTGTCCATATAACACAGGGATAAATCTGTCCATATAACATAGGGATAAATCTGTCCATATAACACAGGGATCAGTCTGTCCATATAACACAGGGAGGAATCTGTCCATGTAACACAGGGATAAATCTGTCCATATAACAAGAAATGTAAGATTATATCAAACAACTTAAGGTGATACATTAGTAAGTATATATTTAAGTTTTTGTATTATCAATTGTTTCAAATGATTTCGAAATATGACTGTATGTACCAAACAACGCTGTCCTTCCTCTCGTATTATCCGCGAAGTCAACACCGACGTCGTCCATGCTGTAGGTCTTCATGGCGCCTGTGTTAGCGGTAACTACGTAAGATGCTGTTGCTCCTTTAACATAGACAGCGGCGGTCGGCTGGTACAGACCTTTCACGGCGTAGTCAGTGGCAAAGCGTACACCTATAAAGGCAAGTATTGTAAAACATGGGATCTTTATTATGTAAAAAGTGTCGTTGTTTTCGTTTGCTATTACATAGGAATAAAAGAAATACCAAGGCAGTGAAGGGTAACAATGTAGATTTCTGATGAAAGAATCACGTTGGCAGTTATGTGGTATCAACGAGAAAGTTTTAATCATTGAAACAATTTCTTTAATTTAAACCAAAAGAGAGAGTACCTGCGGAAATTTCAGGTGACATATATATATATATATATATTCTGTGAATGCTAATACATACATTGTCGTATCTATCATTGAAATTTTATGCAGATTTATGCAGATTTAATCATTACCGTTGTCGTAATCACTGGCATCAATTTTCAGTGTATTCCAAGTCTTTGATCCCATTGGATAGATATCCACGAAAGATTCACTGACAAGGTTAATCACAGCGATAGCATTGTTTTCCTGTGTAATGAAAATGAAATAAATTGATTCAGATACACGTTTTCTCCTTCTCAAACGCAATTTAATTGGTAAAAATACTAAACTACATACCTTGTTTTTACTTCTTGCTCGAATATTTACTTCAAAAATTCATTTAAAATGCATGTACTTTTCATGGGAGCTAAGAAGTGGAAAGGGAATTATTTTTTTATTTTAGTATTCAATCATCTATGTCGTATTTTTGAGATTTAATTCAACAGAAGATAAACCCTTGCAAATAACAGCCAGCAATGATAATAATAAAACAAATTACTAATTTCGGTTAAAGTTTAATTCGGTTCCTGAATTTACGACATTTTTTAACATAACTTCTGAAGACAAAAGAGAGATTTGTTTTTATAACAATCTTATTTCACCGGGGAGAAACGCAATCTAGTTCAAATCACGACTAGACATACATCTGTTATATAAACGATACGATTTTATAAATATACATGTATATTATAAAGCATGATGGCAAAATAATGTACGAATAAGATTGTACATGACTTAACATTTAATAAACACGTGATTTATGAAACGAATCTAAGAATATTTTTCATTAGAGGAGCTAAAATGAAAAAAAAAATGTGACAGGATTCATAAACCAAATATCAAAGTATTGTTACGATCCTTTTATTAACATGAACTGTTACAGATAACTGTTGTAGGAAATAAACATTTCTACGTCAACCAGGAGATCATTTCAACTCTTACTCTGTCTATATATAGATATGGTTCCTATTATTACCTCACAATGCAATCTGTATGTAACGTCAATTTATCTATTACCTCACAATGCAATCTGTATGTAACGTCATATTATCTTTTACCTCACAATGCAATCTGTGTGCGACGTCATATTATCTTTTACCTCACAATGCAATCTGTATGTAACGTCATATTATCTTTTACCTCACAATGCAATCTGTATGTAACGTCATATTATTTATTACCTCACAGTGCAATCTGTGTGCGACGTCATATTATCTGAACATGACGTTTACATGCGAAATACACAAAAATAGGGCATGAGTATATTCACTTAATAACAATCTACACGTGACTAGGACAAGTCCCTCTTCTGTGATTGGTGAATAGCTCTTCCCGTAAAGACTTCTTCCAGGAGTTATCATAGCAAGTTGATAAATTAGACTTAAAAAGTAATTTCTATGACACTCGGCTATTATCGTAAATTAATAAGCTACACAACGTAGATTAAATCTGATATACTATATAACAAAACAGTTATCATTTTTTTTATGTTACTACGTTAATCTGTCGTCCTTTGAACTGTTGATATTTCCCTTGGCCTGCGACCTTAAGGGATATCTCATTTCTCAGCAAATCCTTGTATTCACATGAAAAATATCAATAATTGTATAAATCTCCTTACTGGCAATGTGACATAAGCCATGGTGTTGTCGTCACTGACGGTGATAGCTTCGGGCTCGATGTCCTGTGACAGCTGCGTGATTATACCGTTGTTGTGATCCCCACGGTAAGACCAACGCAAACCTTTCCCTAGGTATTCGAGGACTCTAAAATACAAAACAAGACATGTTTATGAAACACTATGTCCCCGGTTGCAACAAAATTCTGAATTGAGATATTAGATCTTAACAGTGTAATTTCACTTTGCGAAAACTTATGTCTTCACTGTGGAATATAGTTAAAGATAATGTTTCAGTTTTCAAATAGGTCAAAGTTCACGGACAAGGTCACATGATCAATTATTTTGATACTTTCGGAAAGCCCTCTAACAAGGAGCACACATGCCAAATATGGAAGTCATACCCCGTACGGTGCAGTGGTTATGGGCAAGGTTAAAGTTGACAACGGAAAGACAGACAAACAGACAGCACAAAAACAATATGCCTGCGATCTTTCAATAGTGGGACATAAAAGTAATCTCACTGAAGACCCACACAAAGCATAAAGCATATATGATATCAGTGTTATATATTGACGAAATCTTTCTACAGATAAAAAACTGAAATGTCTTCCAATTTATTGTGATGTGCTCCCTAATATCCAAGACACAGCTATAAAGATATCTTAGCAATGCTGTGATCTAGAATTCGTTGTTGTGTGAAGCATTTCTTAAGGAATACTATATTTCCTTGTTCTGTATTAAGTTAGTGCATTTAGTGATTCTTGATATAACGACCGACAAAATATCGTTTGTGTAATGAAACAGGAATGAACTGCTAATTGGGTTGCTGATCAATACACTGCCAACATTATACATCATAATTCGTTTAAAGTTGTAATTTTATTTTTGTTCTGAAAAGGTTTGGCATTTAAACAACTTAATTTTGGCAGAGAACAGTGTATACTGACTATGTGATGACCACTCTATTTTAAAGTGTCATCCTACTGAATAACGGAAAGGGACACATACTGACAGTATGGCTACGTATCATACTGACCATTTCAGACAGGGACACACACTGACAGAATGGCTACGTTTCATACTGAACATTTCAGACAGGGAAACACACTGACAGTATGGCTACGTATCATACTGACCATTTCAGACAGGGACACACACTGACAGTATGGCTACGTATCATACTGAACATCTCAGACAGGGACACACACTGACAGAATGGCTACGTATCATACTAACCATTTCAGACAGGGACACACACTGACAGAATGGCTACGTATCATACTGACCATCTCAGACAGGGACACATATTGACAGAATGGCTTCGTATCATACTAACCATTTCAGAGTGGGACACACTATGACAGTATGGTTAGGTATCATACTGAACATTTCAGACAGGGACACACACTGACAGTATGGTTAGGTGTCATACTTAACATTTCAGACAGGGACACATACTAACAGTATGGTTAGGTGTCATACTTAACATCTCAGACAGGGACACACGCTGACAGTATGGTTAGGTGTCATACTTAACATTTCAGACAGGGACACACACTGACAGTATGGTTAGATATCATACTGAACATCTCAGACAGGGACACATACTGACAGAATACCTACGTATCATACTGAACATCTCAGACAGGGCCACACACTGACAGTATGGTTAGGTATCATACTGAACATCTCAGACAGGGACACATACTGACAGTATGGCTACGTATCATACTGAACATCTCAGACAGGGACACACACTGACAGTATGGTTAGGTATCATACTGAACATCTCAGACAGGGACACATACTAACAGAATGACTACGTATCATACTGAACATCTCAGACAGGGACACACACTGACAGAATGGCTACGTATCATACTGAACATCTCAGACAGGGACACATACTGACAGAATGGCTACGTATCATACTGAACATCTCAGACAGGGACACATACTGACAGTATGGCTACGTATCATACTGACCATTTCAGACAGGGACACACACTGACAGTATGGCTACGTATCATACTGAACATCTCAGACAGGGACACATACTGACAGTATGGCTACGTATCATACTGACCATTTCAGACTGGGACACACTATGACAGTATGGTTAGGTATCATACTGACCATTTCAGACAGGGACACACACTGACAGTATGGCTACTATCATACTGAACATCTCAGACAGGGACACACACTGACAGTAAGACTACGTATCATACTGACCATTTCAGACAGGGACACACTATGACAGAATGGCTACGTATCATACTAAACATCTCAGACAGGGACACATACTGACAGAATGGCTACGTATCATACTCAACATCTCAGTCACGGACACATACTGACAGAATGGCTACGTATCATACTGAACATCTCATACAGGGAAACATACTGACAGAATGGCTACGTATCATACTGACCATTTCAGACTGGGACACACTATGACAGTATGGTTAGGTATCATACTGAACATCTCAGACAGGGACACACGCTGACAGTATGGTTAGGTGTCATACTTAACATCTCAGACAGGGACACATACTGACAGAATGGCTACGTATCATACTGAACATCTCAGACAGGGACACACACTGACAGTATGGTTAGGTATCATACTGAACATCTCAGAGAGGGACACATACTGACAGTATGGTTAGATATCATACTTAACATCTCAGACAGGGACACATACTGACAGAATGGTTAGGTATCATACTGAACATCTCAGACAGGGACACATACTGACAGAATGGCTACGTATCATACTGAACATCTCAGACAGGGACACACACTGACAGTATGGTTAGGTATCATACTGAACATCTCAGACAGGGACACATACTGACAGAATGGCTACGTATCATACTGAACATCTCAGACAGGGACACACACTGACAGAATGGCTACGTATCATACTGAACATCTCAGACAGGGACACATACTGACAGAATGGCTACGTATCATACTGAACATCTCAGACACGGACACACACTGACAGTATGGCTACGTATCATACCGCTCATCTCAGACAGGGACACATACTGACAGAATGGCTACGTATCATACTGAACATCTCAGACAGGGACACATACTGACAGTATGGCTTCGTATCATACTGACCATTTCAGACAGGGACACACTATGACAGTATGGTTAGGTATCATACTGAACATCTCAGACAGGGACACATACTGACAGTATGGCTACGTATCATACTGACCATTTCAGACAGGGACACACTATGACAGTATGGTTAGGTATCATACTGAACATCTCAGACAGGGACACATACTGACAGAATGGCTACGTATCACACTGAACATCTCAGACAGGGATACATACTAACAGAATGGCTACCCCATTGAACACTTACAAGTCCTAAATAAACCCTTTCTTACTTTTAAATCCTAAATACTTTAACATTTCTGACGTTTTTGACTGTTTTAATTCATGCATTAAGTTTTTAGACAATAGGTATTAATCGTAATTCTGAAGAATAAAGTGCTACGTATACAACCTGTGCATGAGAATTAAGTTCAACATTTGTCTTATTTTCGATGGTCATGGCTGCATATGACTATTTAGTTCGTATACGATTATTGACGGATTCCTTACTGTCAGCACACAAAATGTGCAGGATACGATCCAAAGTGTTACGCCTGTCCTACCACAATATCTCGGCTCCAGCATAAAAATACAGTAGGGAGAGAAATTTTATCAAAATGTTTTAAGCCCATATAACAATATAGCTCACTTAGAATTGAAGTAGCTGAATGTGAGCTCTCTAGAACACGGAGCACTTGTATCAGCAAAAGTCATGTCGATGATTGAAACCGATCCCTCGGGATCTGTAAAGACCCCATTCACCAATCCAGGACGTCCCTCATTTGCAACCAGCAGCTTACCACAGTCATTGGAATATTTTAAACTCTTGGGTGAGTGGCCAACTAGAAAGTAGAAAAAAACATAAGAATATGAAACCGGGTTTTGTATTGCAACTGCAGTTTGTATTTAAGTCAGATCGATATAGTAATATCGGAAGATTTTTCAATAAGTGTAACGAAGTGTATCAAACAACAGCACTTGTGTTTGGATTTAATACTAGATATAGATGTATAATTTGGAGACATGTAAAATATCATTTGTATTAATCTTATTACAACCAGGTTTGTCAAAGAAATAGTTTCAATCTTTCAACGGACTTACCAAGCCAGACATACAGAACTTTCGTTTTAATATCAAACCTTAGTATTTGCGTAAAAGCTTTGAAATGATTAATTAATCCTTGTTTGATAATTTTACACGATATTGTTATGCATGCATTAGACAAAGTAACAACAGCTGCAAATTACACATTTCGAGAAGCAAAAAAATATGCGGGTAATTTTTAAAAAAGTTTCATTAAAATGCGAGAAAATTGCTATCAGTAAAAATATTTTTTCTTTCAACTAAATTTTATTTGAAAGCATTTCTTTAAAAAAAACCCATTAAAACATATGTACAATCAAATTACAATAAAAGCTTGAAATCAAGAAGAGTATTTTAGATCTATATAGCGCTTGATTAAATTCTTTTTCTAAAAGTACCTGTTTTTATACTCAACTTAATATCCCAATGCATTAATGTAAGGAGCTAGATACTTTGATATACAAATACCTGTAATTCTTTTTTTGTCGCATTTGATGGAGTTTGTTGAAACGTCGTAAAGATCACACAAGTAAACGTGACCTTCTACTAGTGAAAAAGTATTTTCTACAAGAACCGCCAATGTGTTTCCACATACTTCGATGTCGACCAATCTCCCGTCAGTGCCATCAATGAAGTATTCCGTTTGAATGCGACGTGGGGTTGTTGGGTTATCGGCGGCGACTACATGAATGCATTGGTCACCTGTGAAAAGTAAAAGCCCTTACAAAACACGTAAACTCAAAGCGTTGAAGCACGATACAAGTTATATGCATCTATATGCACTAAATGAGATACACTAAGTGAGAATTTAGTTTATATTTTTGTCTCCTCGCTGAAATTTGGTATCTGTTTGGGAGCATAGTGGTAAATACAGGAAAATACAAAATATACAACGTAAATGAAATGGGATTTTCATCACATTGAAAATAATAACCTGGGTTGTAAATAAAGGAAAAAAGGTTTGAATTTATTCAGGAAACAAAACTGGAGGACAACATTTCATGTTTACGTTAAACATACCATCGTGTAAATTATTTCAGTCTATTTGGGACCTCTCTCTACAAAATGTAAAACTATAGGACGGTGGACATGATATGTTCTACTTGTGCTTGCTGTTGTTGCTTGTTCAGTTGGAGAAAATATCATTAGATTTACTTAAGTGCTTAATAGTAATATTTAAGACGATGATACAGTATTTATGATTATTGAAATTTACTTTAATGCAATGTGACACCACGTGAAACTTTAACAAAACGGATTAACTAAGATAATATTTCTTATGATAAAGTTGAAAAATTGACAATATACATGCATTGATAGCATGTGTTCAGCTTTTTTGAAGCACATAATTCAACGAACTGTTAGGTTATGAAGACAATCTGTACAACACCTCTCGCTAAGATATATATAAATTTGATGTAATGATTCTTCGGTCATGACTGGTGATGTTGAAAAAAGGCGAAGACGAATACTGTCTCCATTTTGTTGCTCTAATAATCCTATCAGTATGATTCCTCTTTTCGAACAAAATGTCTGTTGTCGGCAGGAATGTTTCACGGACAATATCCTCAATTTCCCAACGTTTAACAAAAGAAAAAAAAACTTCCATGTACCGTCAGCCAATTCAAGTATGAAGAAAATTTATATTTATAAAACCATATTAGTAAGGAAAATATTTACGCAGAGACATTAAACTTTCAGAAGTGCATTGTTTCATGTTTGGCGTCGATTGATCTAGGTCAACTGAATTAATGTTACGTTGTCAAAATGAGATACGAAGGAGTAACAGTCATTGAACATTTGTGACACATACCTGCTATATATAATAACCTAGTTGGTTCATGCCATGTTGCTTTCATTGCAGAATCGGAAAACATGTTAATGTTTGCAATGGAACAGTCAGGTAAATTCAGGTAACCCACATTTTCCATAACGAGGGACTGGGCAAGACCATCTGAGATCATCCACACGATAAGAAGTAAAATTCTCATGTTTGTAGCTGAGGATAAAAATTAGATGGAACACTATGTTTAGCAGCTTTACAATGATATCATATTCACACTTAAAAAAAGGAAGGTATATATGAGCAAACGAAAAATCTAATCGATACAAGGACAAAAAAGGTGTTCAGAAAGGGAAAGCATCGCATGTCTATCAAATAGATAGTAAAGTGTTTGTACAATGAAGTGAGGCGTGGGTTGGAAATCATTTAATAGGGTTATCTATTATGATTTCCTCTACATTTCACTATTTCTTGCCATATTGATGTAAAACGAAATGACGATGGAATCATGATGAAATAGTCGGTTCAGTTATACTTCTAATTTGAAAGAACTTGATAGGAACATAATAATTGGTATTTATATCAATGTGAATGTTGTGTAAAAGACACGCGCACATGGTACATGCAGTAATGCTTTGAATTACACGTACATATCATGCACAAAGCTACATTTTATGTACACAACTGCTTCTCGCAGGTTCTTTATCTATATATGGCGCTTCAATAAAGCTAATAACTGAGATTGAAGCGATATCGGCTTCAAACAACATTTATATATGAAACCAAAACAGTCACGATTCCAGTTGATAATAACCGATTTAAAATTCTCAACATATATTTTTGTATAAACATGGCACAGAAAATAGCTAATATTTTGCACATTGTAGTTTAATGAGGCTTTTCAACATTAGAGATTCGTTGATCTAGACATAGTCTTACGGCAAGACCTTACTATCAAGAATTACAGAAGATAAAACTAATGTGGTGAACAACTATTTGTTCAACATGTTCTCAGCTAGATCACTATCAACCTTTATAAACTTGAGATTATAATTGAAATTAAGTTTAAACCATAAAATATGAAATAAATGTGAGAAATATAAACATAAAAAACAAATTCTTGAAATTCCAAATGTGTTGAGACAAACCTGTGGATGACTGGGCCAAACCTATGTAGTGGACGAGCGTTATTCTAAATTATGCCTTATCAAAGTAAGACAGATGTGAAATCCCATGAGGACCGTCGTCAGGTCACGATTATCTTTACACAATAGATGTAATCACTTTGAAATTACAAGTTAATGTTAGTTCTTCACTATAAGGTTTGATATTCCCAATCTTGACTCCAGTAAAAACATATTTTAATTAATCAATTTGATAAAAAAAAAGTCATATCATCAGAAGTTGTGATCTAACTAATCCTATGATATTATATCATTTGTAGTTTTGACAAAGTAAAAAATATGCGCCCCTCGGTTTGTAATATATTGCCTAATATCATAATAACTTTGAAATGATGACATCACAGACTGCCTTATATCAGTTTATTGAAAAACTTATCAAAACAGGCTGCAAAGTCGTTTAATTACACTTTCAGATATATTGATGACCTACCACAATTTGAAATCAAAGACACGATAGACTCTTCTACATCAATCGCTTATCTTTTCCTGCAACGAAACCAACATGGACAGTTTTCATCCAAGCTGTATGACAAACATGATTATTTCAATTTCCTTATTGTTAATTTTCCGTTTCTGGATAGTTATAACCTTGCATCTCAAGACTATGGTGTTAACATGTCATATTTGACTCGATATTCAAGGGCCCATTCCCATTATCACGATTTTTGTGCAAGAAGTCGTCAATTGACGGTCAAACCCATAACAAAGAGTTTCAAAAGATGCAGGTTGATGAACATTATAAGGAAGTTTTATGGTGGCAATAGTGATCTCACAGAAAAATATTCTGTTTCTTTGTGCGATAAGAAACTGGATGTGTTTGATGCTCGTTAGTTTGCCTGTTGGTTCCGTTGTTGTATACATTGTTCTCATTTGAGAACGTGACATAACCTACTTGAATTGATCAAGGTTTACATGAGGTTGTCGTCGATGAAGTAGATTCTTACTCTTCCGCAGCATCTGGTTGTACTTTTTCTTGAGTCTCCCTATGAATCTTTCTATTGTTCATATTTTGTCACAGTTTTATGGAATTGACTTCGGATTATGATAATGTTCGTATGTTGTTATTTTCGTGATGTCTTTTATACTGTTGATACAACGAATTACCTTACATCAGTATAACTTTAAAACTTTTAAAGTTTGCCACCGAAGTCTCAATTGGATACACGCTTATAAAATCTCTGAAGTAATGACATAAGAATATAATATTATCGCTAGTCATAATATAACTTTGGTGAACCAGAGCGGTGCTTTCTATCAACTGCGAGGAAAATTTTCCAAAAATCCTGTTCCGACAAAAACAAAGCGAAGGCTGAATAATAGACTACCTTATATCACAATAAATGAATACTGATGATTGAAACGAGTAAAAGTAGTGTACCACAACGGCCCCATGTTTATTTTAGCTAATACGTTTACGTTATAATCTCTTAAACCTTGTCCCCGTTGAGTTGAATCCGCTTGTGGTAGATAAAAGGCCTTATCTGCTATGAGAAAAAATGTAAATAACAAAAATATCTTAAGTAACTGAAACAAAGATTAACACAAAAACTTATCACATTTGAACACGCCGTCAATGTCACATCCCGTATTCGAAACAAGCATTCATAAACCACGATGTTCCAAGCTTAGTTGGTATAGAAAATTACAGAGCTTAATGCAAAAACTTGACATTGACGCCACAGCCGTAGACAATAAAAAAAAAAAAAAATACCAAGATGTTAATATAATCCATGTGACCTGTCGTAGGCGATAAAATAACTTATAAATAAATTTGATAAATAGAATATTCACTTTAACTTTTCTCATGGCATTTGGATATAAATCACCTTTACTAAATACTGTTAATACTTGTTAATCTCTGTCACTCATGAAAATATAACCAATTATCACCGTAATATGGAATATACTTTATTTTATAAGGTACCAGGTCCATGATAATTATTGTCCGCCTTGTGTTAGAAATAATTCAGTGGAAGTTTTTACTCGGCTGACCTATCCTGTCTTCTTTTAACTATTTCGTTTGTGTCTACTTAAATTTCCTCCAGGTTCTCATATCGGATACATGAATCGTTATAAAAGGTAGTAGGGCAGATATTTCTGTTTAATTTAATGTCTCATTACTGCAATTTTTCCAGACTAAATTTGTTTTCCGATTCCTCTTAGTTATTGATTGACATCTTACCTTATTTGATATTTGATATATTAATGCATAAGGATCCATAGTCATGTGTTATGGTGAAGATTTAGAATCACTTAAATTGTAAGTCAATTTACGTGTCAAACACGGGCTTCGATAAGAATGTGTTGTATGATTGAATCATAATTTTTATTCCAAACAAAAAAAAAATTGATATAATTACACGATGCATATCAAAGTTTGTATGATACATTTAAAAGAAAGTCATTTAAATTTGTGACAAGTAAATGGTACGTGTCAAGAACGTAAAGAAACAGGTCTTCTTAATTACAGCTAATTCAATGAAATGATGGGTTGCCATCAGCAGACAATGATTATAATTCCATCATATTTGTAAAATCAAGTTTGAAACCGTAGTTGATTCCAGGGAAATAAAATAGGAGTCGATCAGACGATGTGCTGCTTATGATTTTTTTCTGAGAAAAAAACTGATGCCATTAAGCTTTTATCATTTCAAAAAATGGAGTACACATAGCTAATCCCCATCAGTTTGTGGTAAATGGTATTTTTTTTAGAAAATTGAAAAAATTCTATGGGTGTTTACAAACTAAGATATAAACGTGAATATTTGTATGCAATTCCAACTTTCTTCTGAAGTTGTATTTAATATTTATTTCCAAAATTTCAATTGCTATTTACCCACTTGAACATCTTATCTGTATCAATCGATGAAGCATGTCAGCCATTATGAGGTAATAAGTGAAAAGTATGTGTACATTTTACTTTATGATTAGCGAGATAGCAATGATCAAAGATATTCTTTGAAATTCGCTGTTTATGAACAACGGATTCTCCTATAAAAAGAAATGCTCCCATGGGGTGTCAACAAATGTGTTTATCTAACAAGTCAGGACTTAATATATGCGTAATTGTTTCAAATTAAAGCCTAGTTTACCGATTTTTTAATTGGATGTAACCATTCATTTTGATACCTACTCATTTTCATATGCACTTCCAAACTCTCTGGTGAGCTAAAAGACTCCCTGTGAAAATCGAAATGGCGGCGCGTGCCGTTAATGGTGGTTACCGGTCACGTTTGTCACTCAATCCAAATATTTATCCCTAAAGTATTGTCTCCACTCTGGTTCACAAAGACGCTTTGGATGTGGACCGTATTGAACGAAACCGGAGACGATGGGTATGACTTGGAATTAACAAAATCTAAAAATTTGAAAATGTTTATACGAGTATATAGAAGAGAAACCAACCGGAGATCACCTTGTAGAGCATTTCCCTAATGATATGTAGGAAGATGTGTGCCGATATCCTCGTTTGACATAAAAAAAAACACATGATGAATTGATGAGGAGGAAGTGCCGTAGATGCCGTTTATGACGTTGTCATGGAGGAGCCGCCATCTTGAACCCGTTGCTATCAACGGATCCAAGAAGACGTTGTTTCCTTGGTAACGCTTCCCATCATTCTCGTTAATTGATTATGCTTTTATTAAGATTAATTGGTCCTGACAATCTAACGCACTGTTTTAGATACATTTTTTAATTTCTTTACTTCAATGCTCACAATCTTACGAAAGAGATGTACCATCCGCATTTTACTCTGACAGTTTTACACTTTACATTACAACTTACGTTACCAAGATTTGATAATATTTGACTCCACTACAAAGTACCTTGCATTACAGTCTCGAATGCCACCATTTAGATTCCATTATATATGTGTATTGTAATATTATCAAATTGTCACATAGACTTTTGATCTTTCATGACTGAAGAACAATGCTGTTTGTTTACTCATTAGTGGAGTATCTACCCATGCATTTCCGTTGACTTTCTTAAAAGGTTCCCGTGTCGCTGATGTTGCTTTGTTTGTCAAAATTATAAACCTAGTACCAGTTAACCTTCAGTCCCCTGTGTCTACTTGATTATCGGGTTTGAAGTTTACAGCTACACTTTATCTGGTAGATTATCGGTCCCCGAGGTTTACAATGACACTGTACCAGGAGGACCATCGATCCCCGAGGTTTACCATGACCCTGTACCTGGAGGTCAATCGGTCACCGGGGTTTACCATGACCCTGTACCTGGAGCATTATAGGTTTCCGAGGTTTACCATGACCCTGTAACTGGAGGCCCATCGGTTCCCGAGGTTTACCATGACCCTGTATCTGTTGGATTATCGGTCCCCGAGGTTTACCATGACTCTGTACCTGGAGGCCCTTAGGTCCCCGAGGTTTACCATGACCCTGTAACTGGAGGCCCATCGGTTCCCGAGGTTTACCATGACCCTGTATCTGTTGGATTATCGGTCCCCGAGGTTTACCATGACCCTGTACCTGGAGGACCATCGGTCCCCGAGGTTTACCATGACCCTGTACCTGGAGGTCAATCGGTCACCGGGGTTTACCATGACCCTGTACCTGGAGCATTATCGGTTTCCGAGGTTTACCATGACTCTGTACCTGGAGGCCCATAGGTCCCCGAGGTTTACCATGACCCTGTAACTGGAGGCCCATCGGTTCCCGAGGTTTACCATGACCCTGTATCTGTTGGATTATCGGTCCCCGAGGTTTACCATGACCCTTTACCTGGAGGTCCATCGGTCTCCGATTTTTACCATGACCCTGTACCTGTAGGCCTATCTGTCCCTGAGGTTTGCCATGACCCTGTACCTGGAGGCCAATCGGTCACCGATGTTTACCATGACCCTGTACCTTGAGGATTATCGGTTCCCGAGGTTTACCATGACCCTATACCTGAAGGCCCATCGGTCCCAAAGGTTTACCAAAACCCTGTACCTAGAGGACCATCGGTCCCCGAGGTTTACCATGACCCTGTACCTGGTGGACCATCAGTCCCCGAGGTTTCCCATGATCTAGTACCTTGTGGACTGTCGGTTCCACAGGTATACCATGATCAAGTATCTGCTGAACTGTCGAACCCCGAGATTTACCATGTTTTTTCTATGTGCCTGTTTGTACAAATCATGTGGTTACCTGTAGATAAAACTGCTTGAGGAATTTGGTCCCAGAGGTTTGTATTATTCTGCAACCGCGTTTTAGTTCAATCGAGTACTGCCGTGGTTCATGCTACATGTAATTTTGCCAACATCATAATTAACTCTTTATTGTGTGTTATTTATAGTACCCTAGTCAACTCCTAAGAATGTATGTTTAAAAATCCAAAAGCAACTATGACCTGTACAATGACCTATTTTATGATGAAACGTGTTTAGAAACCTATAATAAAGCATTTAGTTAGGTAAATTCCTCTTCATTAAAGTCTGTTGCATGTTTGAAATAAAATATAAAGGTAAGTTTTACACATATACAAAGTTATAGAAGTAAATCATAATATTTCATGAAAATTTCAACAGATTCTTTGTTTTGAAAACTGTGCTACTCTCTGGTGTCTTGACCGACTTTTTCAAAATTCGTGCGACAGTAAATTTATCGATGGCTAACAAATCATGTCACAACGACCTTCAATTTAATTTGGAAATCGAAGACACTCGACATTTTCCTACAATAAAACCAACACGATCAGGATGATGATTTTAATTTCCCTGTTGAAATTTTCCATTTATTGATAGTTACATCATATTTTTCAAGCTATGGTGCTTACATGTCGCTTTTGATTCGATATTAAAGGGCTTGTTCCAATGAAAACCTAAGCGAAGAGCGCAAAACACAGGATTTTGAGAGAAACAGTTTGATGTTTAGAGTAAAGTTGTACGGTAATCATAATTATCTCTTCGGACATTTGTCTATTTGCATGTGAGATATGACTTTGAACATGTTTGATGCTCTTTAGTATTTCTAATAAATCAGTCGTTTGTTTACCTCTTCCTAACTTAGCAACAGGGCATTAATTTTCACTAGAATTCTATAAAATTTACATTGCGGGTATATCGATGAAACAGAAGACTCTTATAACTCAGAAACAGGAAATGGTCTTTTTATCGTTGTACTTTTTCCTTTGTTTATATTTTGCCCTTATTTCATCAAATTTGACATTGACGTAATATTCCAAGCTTGTACCCAACAACGGAGGAATCAATGACGAGTCATAGAAAGACGAATTAGCTGTATGGTGCAGTTCTGATGTCAAAAAATGCTTTTCACTTGGAAGTCTTGTGTACAATTTTTGGATCAAATCTCCAACCACTCCCAGGTCTAACATTCATTCTTGTATACACATGACGTAACGTTTTCTGCATGTGCTTTCCCGGTAGTATGGAGCATTTTGTAAGTTTTCCCGGCTGTTGCAATACTATAGCCACGGTACGTTTTCTGGATAGACTATAATAAAAAAAAACTTCATATATAGAATGACCATTTGTCCCTCTTATTTTCTATGCATGTTCTTCCTTTGTCCTGTCATTCCTTTAATGAAATGTTTTGTTTACACTGTCTAACTTCCTGTTCACTACTACGTTACTCTGTCTAACGTTCTAATTTCCTGTCCCCTACAACATTATTCTGTCTAACGTTCTATTTGTCTGTTACCAGCCACGTTACACTGTGAACGTTCTATCTGCCTGTCCTCTACTATGTTAACTGTATAACATCTATCTTCCTGTAGCCTTTAACGTTACTCGGGTGCAACGGTTTGTGTCCCTATCCCTGTGTAGCGTTCAATATTCCTGTCCCCTACTATGTAACATTGTCTAATGTTGAGCATCAGACTAGTGAGCTAGAGGTCCGGAGTTCGAATCCACGTAACCAGAGGGTGCGCAATCAAAGACACTATTAGTGATACTGAGTAACAAAATGGAATGCAACCAATAATGTTCATAGGCAATGTTAGGCTATACCAAACAACAAAAAGGATTATAATAATGTTACAAAAGCATTGTTGATAATGAGTAACAATTTGGAACACAATCGTTCAATGTTACACAGACAATGTTATGTTATAAATGTTCCAGGGAAAAAACACAGAAGAACTTTTTATAAATTTTTATTTTATAAGAAAATCATTCATTTAATATCTCCTTAATGCTTACTGATCCGGTTCCTCTACTTATCACGAACAAATATGGATTGTTACCAATCCAATTTCTCGGGATGAAACTGAAAAGATAATAATAAGAAGTCAGTCAACAAATACATTTAGTAGTGTTAATGGTCTTCAAGAAGTAGCAAGAACATGATAAGTTAATTGTTTACATGTTTTATTTGTTCTATGTCAAACCCCTTTCCTTGCGTACATTATGTTCTGAAAACTGACCTAATTTTAAAAATGAACCTATATTTTTTCTATTTTATTAAATGCTTTCTACGTTCATTGTCCAATGTGTTTCCACGTTCTGTAATTGTGCAAATGGCTTGCCCCGATTAAACGCTTTTGGTACATGTATGAGACAAGGACTTACCCCATGTCTGAAATGAGTCCATCTCCAGCCGTTTCAGTGCCTTGAGAGTCACCCCACTTGGCAGTGGTATCACCCAATCTGTGAACACTCTGGTAGGTGGGAGAATTGAAGGGTATGCTATGTAAGTAGATAAGACCATTCCTTGTGGCGGTGGCTACGAAAGGTAAATTGTTGTATTCTCCAACGGCAAGGACGTTCGGCTCTGGGCCCTGAAGAAAACAAAGACATTCACGTGACATGTTGCAATTGGGGTTGTATTGCTTTTACCCGAAACAAAGATGTTTGATTCCGCGCCGTTGAAAACACGTAGCAATCAAACACATACGCGACTTTAAAAAAGGCCAAGAATTTATGTTAAAAAATTAAATGTGACGCTGTCCAAATTGAAGATTATCTAAAGATGAAAAATTAAAGTTTATATTTATGTTGTTCTTGGTATATAACAATGCATTGTTGCCATTAAACATATTCTTTAAATTTTCAGGTCAGATATAGCATGTTTTGACATTTGCAAAACGGTTTATCTACTATGTTTATTTATCATTTTGCTTCATCAGACAACATAAAATTATGGGCATGTCATCAGAATCCTAACTCTTACTCAAAATCAACTATGCAAACTATGAACAAAATATAGCTTTAATCGGGACCCGTCAAAATTTAAAATGAGAATACGACCAGATGTTCCTTGATGAAATGTTGAATTTGAATTTACCAGGAAAATGCCGAAGCTAATTTGTATTGAAATTAATTTGTGTGTCTATTTTAACATTTTTTTGTTCATCAATAAAACATTTCCCCAAGTGTACATTTATTCTAAATACTGATTATACCATCCATGGGGAACGACTGTCAGACTCAGACGCTGGGGTTAATGTGTCGTTCGAGCAGTCGCCGTTGAACACGCTGGGATATGATTCCAGGGCTTTTGCCTCCAAATCGTTACCTGTTGTGTATTGAGTTATGTTGGTTTCAGTATTCCAGAAACCGATATCGCGACCCCCGAACAAATAAATAGTTTCGATGAGGCCGCTAATAATGCTTTTGCCATCGATTTCACTCATATAAACTTTACCTGAAAAGAAATGTAAAAATTGTTTACATTTTATTCAAATTGTGTGGGTTCTTAATATATATGCATATCAGTAGTCATATATGCAAGCGAAAAAATAATGCCTGCAAGTGCTGCCAGTCGATATCTTCTAGTCTCCTGAAAACAGGCATATTTTCTTGCTTCAGTCAATATAGCATGCCTTCATCAATATCAACAGAAAAGTATTTTTCTGACTTTACGGAAAAGGGCATTTCCGTGTAGCAAGAAAGTAAACGACAGAACAGGACAGAATGCATGTATGTTAAAATCATACAGGTTGTGTAAGAACTCGGTCCATTACAATTACAAGTAAACCAAAATAAAGGTGTTATATATACGTTTACAAAAGTCTATTCAACGTTGGATTTAATGTCAACGTACAATGCCTCTCTTTCTCCTTCATTTCTATGGTATTTTCGAAAATAGTTTATAAACGGTTTCTCCCCAACTAATATCTGAATGTTTATTTGATCTATAATTGATGTTTTCTGGTACAGTATTGTGTTGTTTGTATTCTCGAACAAGGGCTCTTAGAGTGTTACCAGTTTCTCTTTGTAGTAATCATTGCGTTCTGGGCATATTATTACATGAAGATTTTTGATTTGCAAGACATATTCGCGTTGATGGTAAATTCCTTGTAGATATTCACATGTGTCGCATCTTGGTTTTATATACTTTGAATCTTGTTTTCTTTTGAAATTTACATAATATTCTACATTATTTTTCTTATTGTCGTTTACTGTTGATAAATTGTTTCTTTTCATAAAGTAAACCAAAATAAAGGTGTTGGTGGATATCTCTGCATAAAATAAACATCTGTTACGATTCTATCTTCTTTATTGACGAGGATATAAAGAAATTCAGTATTTTGTGCCCCA